CTTTTGAGTTTTAGTGGGCGAACGGCCGAAAAATTGCCTTCCGTTCTCATAAATGGGAACGCCCGTTCCCATATTTGGGAACTCCGTTCCCAAAAATGGGAACGTTCCTATATTTGGGTACTCATGACCATAGTTCCGCCTACTGAAATGGTTCATGTTGGGGTGGTTTCTCACATTTTATCAATTTTTGTATTCTTTGTCAATACCTTGACATAGCAAATACTAAACTTCGATAGGGTGCTTCTTCCGACGCGCTGTTATCAAGCAATTACAAGCCTTTTAATGTGCTCAATTTGGCTGTCGATTTGTCAGAGAGCTCAAGCTGAGCTTCTGGAGTCTGTGTGTGCCAATTCGTTTTTATTGTTGTCTTTAATCAAACACGAAAATATGAAACCATTTGTCATGCATGATGAAATGCACTGTGTGCAGAGTTTCATGAAATATCAAAAATTTTGGTATTTGTAGAGCAGACGTGACACAAATTGGTTTTCCAACTGTGGAGAGGCGCTATCGTCTATACCTACCTAGAGGTGCTTGTTTCTAACAAAATCCAAACAAACCTAACCTAACCTAACCTACAACCTGTAAACCTACAGTGCCTCTCCTCAGTTGGAAAACCTTCGTGTGACGTGTGCTCTACTAAATGCCAAAATATCTGTCCGACTCCCAATCGGGTGGATGGTGAAACAGGGCGCCAGAGAGCATTTTAGTCACGTGACTTACAAACTTGTCCTCCCTCTAATGCCTTCCGTTACATGGTTAATTAAACCATCTGTTAAAACTTAGCAGTTGCCCGAATTGCAAAACGGTGGCACTAGCAGTTAAGCAGGCACCATACTTGTTTTTTAGACCAAGGCCTGGAGAGGCACTGTAGGCTGTTAGGTTGTAGGTTTGGTATTATTAGAGCAGACATCACACAAAGATTTTCCAACCAAGGAGAGGTGCTATACCCGGAGGTGCTTCTTTCTAACAAAACCCAAACCTAACCTAACCTGACCTAACCTAACCTACAACCTACAATTTTCAAACCTACAACCTAAAAACCTACAACCTAAAAACCTTCAACCTACAAACCTACAGCGCCTCTCCTCAGTTGGAAAACCTTTGTGTGATGTCTGCTCTACTAATGCTGTAGGTTTTAGGCTGTAGGTCTTGGTTGTAGGTTTTAGGTTGTAGGCATGGTTAGAGGTCAGGTTTGGTTAGGTTAGGTTTGGTTTGGTTTGATAAGAAAGCATCTCCATGGGTATAGCACCTCCCCTTGGTTGCAATAAAAAGTGTGATGCCTGCTTTATGACTGCCTTGCAAAGGATATGGAATTTTGTATGATATTATGGTTAGGTGCATGCTAGTCTGTTGTACGTTTTCTGTGGTGCCATGTATATTTCAAAAACACACTATCACAAATAGCACTTTCAAGAACCAGCTTGACCAAGTCATGTCACAAACGACTTTATCCAAGTTCTATTCAGTACAGTTGTAGTAATACCTTGTGCCTGATGTGAGCACTGAATAGACGTGTTGTCTACACCAGCCCATCTGAATGAACCCAAAAAACCTAAATCTAGATTTCTGTAATGCTAAGCAGACGGTGAGTTGACAAGACAAGTGGTGAGTTTTTCTAGCAGTATTGCCCAAAATATCAAAGCCTTTGAAATGACTTTTGTTAGTAACAGTTGAACCGCTAAGAGCTTTTACCTTAAATGTCATCAAGTGATGCTAGACATTACCCAGAGCACTTAATTGATGTTATCTACTGCAATAGTTTTGTTTGGCTCATCAGGAGGAAAGATTATATGAAACACTAATTATTGTCATTTGCTAGCTACCCAAGCTTAAGCCCTGCCTTATAGCTATGGGCAGCAGACTGAGTTTTACTGTTACCGAGTTACTGAGTTACTAGTACGAGTTCTATTGAAAGGTGACATTGAACCAGTTTGGTACAAGTTGACATTAAAGCTGGCATAGTTACCCTGTGCATAATCAGCCCTGTGCATAATCAGTTTGGCATTGGCTGATGTAAGTAAGATCTTCAATTATCTCAAGATAAACCCTTTCAAGTTTCAATTCACAAATGGCTTGATATGCTGAGTACTGACCAATGCAGCTATGTTTTCGAAGCTATTAAGTTTGGATAATGTTACATGCTACATGAATAGTTTTACAAAATGATGACATCAGAATTCCCAAGCTTTGAAGTCATGACTCAATCTTGAGGGTTTTTTTAGGAAAAAAGTAGATGTTTTCATCAGAGATGGCTCAGAGATATCTAATATTGTATGGGATTTGTTTGCTAAATTGAGTTGCATGACCAAATCTGTACACACCAGATTTGAAGCTGCCATTTAACGTATATCTAAGTATTCTAAATTACCCAATAACTTCAAAAATTTAAGTATTATTAGCCTTTTTGTATTTGTTCCATTCTACTCAAAGGGACAGATTTGTGACATGACATGACATGGCTTAAAATGAACAGCTAAATTCTGAACCTGACCTTAGTCTGACCTAGATCTCACATTGTCTACCTTTGGCTCAAATCGCCAATTAGAAATTTACTAGGGTGACCCGCGTGCTCCGCAACGCGAAAAGGGATATTTTCGATCGGCGGGTGTTCCGTTGTTCTTGTGTCGGTTGGGTTATCTATCCATTTCGGTCGATTGCTTTTTGACGGCTAAACGTTTTGGTTTGTGGAAAAAATATCCACCGCATCGAGGTGCCCGTGTCTGATAAGCATGCTTTCCACTTCAGAATCTGTCAAATGTGCTTTATAATTGAGGTGCGTAGTTTCAAGACAAATGAAAGGCGTAGATAATTTTCGCTAAAAATCGTTTTGCAGAGGTTTAAAACATTTATATTTTTAAGAATACTGTTGCTTGTCATGCAAACGTGATGATTGGATCTTGGAGAGAATTGAATGCTGTTTCTAATGATAGCATTTTCAATTGTCAAGCGTATCAGGTTAAGCAGGAAATCCCGTGTAACTTTTTAGTGGCACATTATGGACAAATACCATTTAATTCAGCGATTTTTTCCACATTGTTTTTTTTTTCCAGACGCTTTTTTTTATTAAATATGCATAGCAGGACACACAGCATGTGTGTCACAGCATGTAAAAAACTGCTGTGTGTCCACATTGTTTTTTATCAATTAGCTGTTCACAGTTTTTCCATGAGAGGCGGTACATTTCTCTTGCCAATTGACGTTGTTTCAACTCTCTCAGTCTGATGGTCACGGGAAAATAAAATAAAATCCAAAATCCGTTTAAAATGGCACTTTTTGAAATGAAATTGCCCTCACACTTGCACGTGGCGCGTGCCACCCCTGCACCGCACACTATTCGATTGCCCGTTCGATTCTCTACACGATGCTGTTTTCCCCGTGCCGATCGGGCGCACGGCTACCGAGATATTGCACGGGGAACGGACCCGTGTCGGGCAAATTTAGCCATTTTCGCCCGTTTTTGCCAGCCGATTTATACATGTAAAGTCTATGACGCGAATTTGCACTTTTTGGGCACGCGCCACGCGCTCGCTATCGATCCGATCGAGCCGAGACCGCTCAAAGGCACGTTGTCCATCCTTGTTCTATAACTTGCGCAAATTTCAGCGCGGTATGTGCAACGGTGTGATCTGTAACCCGCGCTACGTAGCACCATGTCGCGACCTCGGTTACAGACAGAAACTACGTCACCACAAATAGTTACGGAGCGAGCGAAGCGAGCGTAGTCTTTCCTTAGATTAACGGAAATTTCTGAGTATGAGCGGCCGGCCGGCCGGCCGGCCGGCCGTGGCCACGCTTTTGCGAGGCTTATATCTCAGCAACCACTTGACCGATTTACACGCGGTAATTTTTGTAGGGTAGCTTCATTCCTTCTACCAAGTATTGGACTATTCCCGATGCATGTGGGTGACCCCTTATGCACGTGCCACGTGCAAAACGAAGAGGTGTCACTTTTGTAATTGTTGCAATATCTCGGTAACTACTTGGCCGATTGCGCTGAAAGTTGGCATGTAGGTAGGCACTCACTAGGCAATGCATATCCATGTGCCAGAGTTGGGGTGCTGCTGCACGTGCGCACGTGCAGGGGTCGATTCCAGATCTCGAGAACGGCTGGACCGATGGCGCTCAAATTTGGTACATGGCTAAGGACCGGTTAGTAGGGTGCCGTGCAAAAGTCAGTTGGGACCCATTTTGCACGTGCGCACGTGCAGGGTGCCGCTTCCAGATCTCGAGAACGGCTGGACCGATTGTGCTCAAATTTGGCACATCGCTATAGACCGGTTAGTAGGGTGCCGTGCTCAAGTCAGCTGGAGGTACCCACTCGAAATTTCGCACGTGCAAGGCTCACCCTCTCGCTCGCTCCGTTAATCGCCCCAAAAGGCGTTATACTGGTAATATAGATGTTCATTACATTATATGTGTAAAGGAAGTCATGAAACCTGACTGTCATACTATCCTTTTGAACGACAGAGCTGATTTGCAATGGCTTTTGATGACCTGATCTTGAACTTGACATTTGTAAGTCATGGTGCCTTAGCTCTCAAGTGCAGCACTCTGGATACCTGTTAAAGTACAATTGGAAAAATATTGACAAGCTCAGTATGTGCTCTCATCTTTCTACTTGCTCTGTGGTGGTAGTGGTACCGTAGGTTTGTCGGACGGATACGAAACTCAACACCAAGATTGTATCATGTTTTCCTGTTTCCACTACATTTCCTGCTCAGCTGCTGCTACACCATGCCTGCTGACTCGCTGCAGGGTGATTGCGAACTTCCTTGAGATAACCCAAAGGCGCTGGTGCGCGGCCCCCAGTCCCGGCTCAGTTCTCCCGTATTCCGGTCTCCGTTGTTCGTAATAAAGCCGTAAAAAATACAGTGTTCTTCGGTGCAACATGAATGATGACTCCTCACTGTTACTCTGGCTTGTATAATTTTGTCATGCTTAGGAGTGATGTGGCAAATATTGTACCTCGTTAATTGTCACACATTGATCGTTTTTTCAGACGTCAACATGACGTTGTATACAAAGAAGAAAGACGTGGAACGCTATGTCAAGGAACTGTTGTCGAAAGTGAAGACCGATGATGAGGTAAGCTTACACCCATTTCACTTATCGGTAGATAGATTCAACCCTAAATAATATCGATGCCTACATTTACTTGTGATGCCTACCCCACGTCATGCTATCGCCAGCTCTGCGTGACTGTAATTAGTGGAATATTAAGCCATTGTCCAGATTGTCCAGGACCAAGTATGAACATTTTTACATGAATCTTGTCAGAATTTTTGTCGATGTGTGCTGCGTTTAATGTACACTCCTTTTTTAGGAACATTTGGAAGAAAGTGAGCTTTTAATGTCAGCTGACTCAGGGCCACACTGTAATCCGTTCTGACTGCATGTCACCCCATCCTCCTCTGTTGCAGCGCAAGCTCAAGGGGTTCACGATCGCGCGCATGTTTCACCAAGTGGGTGACCAGCGGACGGCTCGCCAGTACCTCAGCTGGTACCTGGAGGCGCGCCCGGGCGCCGCGCCGGCCCACAAGCTGCTGGGCCAGGTGCTGGCGGCCAGCGGCGAGCCGGCGGCGGCGCTCTCCGAGTTCGGCCTCTCGCTGGAGCTGGACCCCCACCAGAAGGACCTGGTCATGACCGGTGAGTCACTGATGGTCGGGGCGGCTGGCTGGGGGCTCGGTTTTACGTGTGACTAACAATATCCGATTTTTGTGGACATTTTTGTAAATGAACCATCGAAGACAACACAGAATAATTAGAAAAGAGAGACAAAGAACAATGACTTCCTACATCATTTCAGTAATGACTGGTCTATAAAGGCTTCCAATTAATGTAGTGCTCACTGCTCAGCAAGGTTTATGTCGTACCTATCTCACTGAAATAATTTTTTATATGAAATGAATGAAATAGATAAAATTGTTTCATACCTACAAACAGCTTCAAACCGATCAGTAAATTACTCGTTTGGACTATCTCCTGTCGTTGAGCCGGCTCACTGGCCGGCTGACCGTCGCCTGCACCTCACAGGCTGTAAGCTGCTGCTAGAGCTACCGGCCAGCACACCGAACGCCAACCGGTGGCTCGAGCACGCCACCAAGTACTTCAAGAGCGACCCGATCGTGCTGAAACTGCGCCAACATCTGCGCGACGCGGGTGGAGGGCAGGGCGTCAGCGGAGAGGACGTGGACAAACTGCTGGCCGGTGAGTATTTACTGGGATGGTAGGGTTGGAGTACAAACTTTTGGCTGGTGGCCGTGGGTCAATTAGGTGTTCGGGCTTGGGGACAAACTTCTGAATAGTGGGCTAACTGGGGGATATTCGTAGGTAACTGTGCGGTCATTTTATCTATCAGGCTTGCAAGGCTGTATGTTGGAGCTATATTTTTCATTTTCAATTGGCAGAATATTCCGAAATGTGGTAGTTTTCCTTATCTTGTCGATGACGATAAGGATTTTCCTTATCTTCCCTACATCGATGACGATCGGTTCGCTAAAATGTAATTGTTTCAGCAATATTAATTGTTCGCAGCGGAGCTGGCTGCCGAGCCGACCGACCCGGAGCGGCACGTGCGGCTGGCAGAGCGGCTGGCCGTGTCGGCCGGCCAGGCAGAGGCGGCGCGCTACGTGCGCAGAGTGGAGGAGCGCCGGCCGTTCCCGCGCTCCGCCGTCTGGTACCAGTGCGTGGCCGCCATCTGCCAGGTTAGAGTTCAGCGGAAGGACGGACGGACGGACGGACAGACGGACTCAACGAAGCATTTACTCATATGATCACAGGATTTTCAGATACATGTTTATGGCAGACCGAACTCGATAGTCTACTTTGTACGTCATATTAACAAGCTATCAAACAACGGTGACAATTTGATTCTTTAATTCGAGTCCAGGGCATTCCTGGCCAAAGTTTTTATTCAACTCTGAAACTCAACACAGCTCTATGTCGCATTGAGGTCAGTTGATGAAAAGATTTACAGGTAAATATAAGTTTTACCATATAGGTCATAGTTTGCTTATGATAAAATGTTGTTTATGAGCCTGGCCGATAACAGTTTGTACGTTTTGTGCGCGGCCGCAGAAGTACCAAAGCTCTGTGAGCGCCCCGGACCGGCAGTACCAGCTGCTGCGGCTCGAGGCGCTGGACAGAGTCGTGGCCCTGGCGCTGGAGGAGCGCCGGCCCATCTCTGAGATCACCACCGATCTGTACAGGTACGTGGGAGGGGCAGTCTGGTGCGTCAAAGTGCATCGATAGCTGACTGAGAGGCTGGACTTTCAGCTATGGGCGTGAGAATGATTCCGGACTACCATCGGTCTCCTCATGATTGGTCTCACCCGACTAATGATAGGACATGTTGATTAAACAAATGTAGTTTGTTATTGTATTTCTGCTGTGGTAACTAGTATAAGTAACTGGCCAACACAGTTCCGTTGTCATTTTATTCTGACCCACCCGTCCTTCGTCTTCAGGCTGGACCAGCAGCTGCTGCAGGTCTCGCGCGAACTGGAGTCCGCCGGTGAACCGGAACAGGCGCGTCTGGAGTCGGCAGCGCTGCTCAACCACATCACCGGACAGCTGTTCTTCCACATGGGCTCTGTGCTGCTGCTCGGCGCCGCGCAGGTCAGATGACGATAGTGACGGTGGTAGTGGCTGGGCTTGTTATGCGCACTTACCAGCCTGGCTAGATTGTCATGATATTTTAGCCTTGCACACGCAATTTAGCATCATACAAGTACCCAAGTAAAGACATGTACTACTGCAGCTGCTTCTGGTTTAATTGCGATACGCTCTGCGATATGGCTCTGTTAGCGATGTTTGAATTATTTGCCCTGTTTCCGTCCGACAGGGAGTGGGAGAGGCTGGCGGGGACGGCTCCCGCGAGGTCAGTGACATGGCGCTGGCCCTGTTCCTGGCCGCACAGGCCTACGCGCCGCTGGACACCGTCTCTAAGCTGTACCAGTGCAGCTCCCGGCAGGTGAGTCTGATACTGTAACCGTTACACCACCACTGTAACCGTTACAGTTCGCTAGACATGGCCTCTAAGCGGTATCAGTCCTCGTTCCCCTGTTTCATCGGCTCAGGCCGTCTGTTTAGTACGCAGGTGCGTCAACGCTAAATGAATCAATGGCTCACCAGTGTAGTCATGAAGAGGTGTTCATCTTCATGGCATGACTTCATGACATCTATTCTTCATCCCCGCTGTGGGTGCTCGAATTGACCCCGCCCGTCTCTCCCGCTCCGTCCCCAGGCGGTGCTGGACGTGTGGCGTCGTCAGGCCGGCGCTCGCCAGGTGGAGGTCGGATGGTCAGTGCTGGCTGCCGAGACCAACAGCCGACCGGACCACGTGCTGAGAGTACAGCAGCAGTTCTGCACGCAGAAGGGGCGCAGTCGGATCCACTCCCGTCTGTTCCGCTCTGCCAGTGTGTCGGGACTGGGCCGCGCCGACACCTCGGCCTTCCTCACACTGCCGGCCTTCCTGGAGACGAACCCGGTGGCGCCGCGGCCGGCCGACCTGCTGCCGCTGGCGCCGCTCTACTGGCAGGAGCACGCCGGGCGGCTGCAGCAGATTGTCTGGCTGCGGCTGCGCGCTCCGTCCGCCGGCTACCAGCCGCCGGGTAGTACCCTGCCGCTGCAGGCGCGCGGTGCGGCGCCCAACGCCACCGCCGCGCCCGAGACCCTCTGTCTGCTGGACGTGCTCTGCTTCCTGGAGGCGACCGTGTACGTGACGTCGCAGCTGCGCGCGGCGGCCGGCCGGCGCGGGGCTGATGACGCGCTGCCGCCGGCCGTGGCCGGCCGGCTCTGCTCGGAGGAGCAGGCCGAGTGGTGGGCGGCCGTCCACCGGCTGCAGGGCGAGCCGGCCGGCGCGGCGCCCGTCCAGGAGCTGGCCGCCCTCCGGCGCCAGCTGCAGCGCGGCCTGGAGGCCGTCCGCTGTCTGCCCGGCCACGGCAACTCGGTCCGCCTGGTGATGCACCTGGCTCACTGGGCTCTGCAGCAGGCTGTGTCGGGTCCCCTCGACCAGGCGGCTGCGTATGAGGCGCGTGCCGAGCTGTACCTGCGCGCGGCGCTGCCGCTACTGGAGCGTCTGCAGCGCGGCGGCGCCGACCGGCCGCCCAAGCAGCGCCTGTTTGACTGCAGCGAGCCGGAGCCGGAGCCGGACGGTGCGGCGCTACTGAGGGACGAGGCGTGCCGCCTGCTCGCCGGCGTGCTGCAGCGCCGCGGCCTGCTGCAGGAGGCGCTGCCGCTGGTGGCCGACCTGCCCTCCGCCGACGCCGCCTACCAACAGGGACTGGTGAGTGACGGAAGTTATGCTGCACGACCGGTGTTTTCCTCTGTACAGCTGCTCACGATTGTTATAATCGGTTTTATTTGACTTACAGTCGGCGCGCCCTAAAGCCGCCATAAAACAAGCCAATGATTGTTGGCTTGCAACTCATATTAGTCGACCATAACTCCGATCTCGTGCCGTGCCTCCCCCTCCACGACCCTGCATCTGACTCTGGTCTGTGTGACGGCAGATTCTACACCAGCTGGCGCTGCGTCCGGAGGTCGAGGACTCGTCAGAGCTCTTGCGACGCTCCCTAGAGTCCTTCTACCTGACACTGGACAGACTGCGAGACCCAGGCACGTACTTAAGAAGCAATGCAGTAACTTGCTGTAACTGCCGCTGTATAATCTATTGTAGGAACTGTGCGATAATTCATTACAAAGTTGCGAAAGTGCAAACCCTCAGGGCGGCGCAACTTTAACACTTGTGTTAAATGAACCGACTGATAGCTATGCACCGCCTCTTCAAGGTCGAGTTATCGGCTGGAATCTCCTATCTATTTGAGCTATACACACAATCGGACACTGTTACGGCCGGGCTCTTATCTCCCCGCGAGGCGCGATATCTAGCTGAGCAGCTGTCGGGTGGTGCGGTGCATCAAACGGCGATAGTGCTGCGATTGCAGTATCGGCCGGCGAAGGGGTTGGGCTCGGCGGGCCGTCCTCGCTCCCCTGTTCTGTGTGTGACGGACTGGACGCGTGGTGTTTCTGCAGTGGGCAGCGGCTCGGCACTGCCGTCCAGGGAGGACCTGGCCTCTCAGATACGGGAGGTGGAGCATCTGATAGCCGAGCAGACGGCCGCATCCACACACGGTGAGCCAACTAACTGGCGTCTCGGTCAGAGGCTGTCCGTGCATCACAGTGCACAGCAACGATACGTCCGTATCTGAATATGTAGACCACGTAGACATAAACGAGTCCATTATTGATTCTTGAATGATCCATTAGTAAAACTACGTTAAAATTGACTATTGTTATATCAGTCACTTGCCAGTATTGTGTTCGTCTATTACCTAGGACTAACCGTGCCCTATGACTCGGTCTCCCCTGACCTCTGACCCATGTCTCTCCACGTGACCCTGACCCACGTCATGTCTCTACAGTGAACGGCTCGTGCAGCGCGAACGTCACGCTGGACCGGTCGGTGACGGCCTCGCGGTGGCTGGGGCTCGCCGCCGGCGGCTCGGTCACCTCCACCCCGCGCCGGCCGGCCACCTCCGGGGCGCTCAACAACTCCGGGGCGGCCGCCTCGCCGCTCAATCTCTCCGCCAGCTTCGGACAGGTGGGTGGGGAAGTGCGGCTCACGGGAGAAGGGGGAGGCGGCTCGCAGGCGTTAGCCATGTGTACTCGGCCACAGGCGGGCCAGGGGGTCCGCCCTGATCCGACCGTGGCTTTATCTCTGTATTACTCACAGTTATTAGACAGTCTTCTCTGGTAACCAAATTAGTACGCGTACCTAACCGAGTTTTGTTCTGATGTAGAGAATGAATTGAAATGATCGTGTGACTGACCCTGTACCGTGTCAGTTTAGGACTGGCGTACCCCTCCATGCAGGGTTTCGGAGTCGTGGTAGCGGTTTTCCGACTCCGACTCCGACTCCGGGTGACGGGCCTGATACAAGTGATACGAAGCATTGAAAACGACACTTTATTAACCCGCGCCCTGCTGGGGGGGGGGGGGGTTGAACACCCGCTCCGGCGGCGGCCTTTTTCGGCACACCTTATCATGCATCTTTTCTGCATATGCTGTGAAAATTTCAGACCAAGGTCACTCAACGTCAGGTCATCAGGTCACATCAAGTGACCTCACCTCATAACAAGTTTAAGTGCCTGCCATAGCTACACCGAGTGGCCGATCACTTTGAAACTTTCAGCAATTGATAAGAGTAACAGTATGTACAAAATGTTCATCTCGGAATTTTGATATCGGTGACCTAAGGTCAGATCAATTTTCCGACCTCTCTTTTACCTATAAGTCAACAGGAGAAAATTGAAATGCGCCTCTTTTGGGCCAATGCCATTCTAAACATTTTCAAGCATCGAATTACAAGTGAACATAACACAATGAACCGGAAAATGGCACCCGTGACCCTTCGTTATGTCTCTAAGGTCATCTCGGGTCACGAATGATATCTAACAGTTTTTCGCTAATACCTTTTGATAGAGGCACGCTAGAGTAATGAAAACGCTTTAGAGCTGTTCGGCTCAACGATACGAATCGACTGATATGCAACATGACCTTTTCTGGTTAGGCCATTACGATATGCAACATGACCTTTTCTAGTTAGGCCATTTATACCTTCATATTGCCTTGACCTGTGGTCAAATTTTAAAGTTGACGTTTCGAGGTCAAATTATAGTTGATTCGATGCGTCTTGACGAGAGGAACATGATGCTGATAAAAGTTATCTCGTGCAAGTTTTGAGTAAAAAGTTAGGTATTGCAGAAAAACCGTTTCCGCAAAGAACGTCTATTTTGACAGTTTTTGCTCCCTGCAGCAGTAGCGGCGGAACACCTTCAATTAAGGGGGGGGGGGGCACTGCCGACTTTTGGTCCCATTCTTTCCATGCAACGCCCATAGGGCTAATGTTAAAATGCCAAAATCAAAGGGGGCACGGTGCCCCGGTGCCCTTCCCGTTCTGCCGCCGCCGCCTGCAGGGCATAATGCCCTGCAGACTAAACCGTTGACCTTAGGTTAAATCTGAGAGGGCTACTCAGAAAGACCGTCAAAAGAGCTATCCAATGCGCTTTTCTGTTGTGCTGTAGCTCTATCCGTTCCTGAGTTAAGCGCCGGTCTGTCGAGACTTATCGAAATTTGACCTCGGAAGTGGCGAAATTTTACCTTCGGTGACCTCTGGTGACCTGACCTTTGACCTGACCTAAAAAGTGTCTAAAAATGTCTTCATTATTTTTGACGCTCTTTCGAACGCCTCCTACGGCGTGTCGCGACGTAGCCCAGGAGCTGAGTTAGAAGGGGCGGGGTGTTCACACCCCCCCCCCACCCCAAGCAGGGCGTGGAAATCCAGGACCAAGATTCAAAACAAGATGTGTGAAAAAGCTATTTTTGATCACCAGAAGCGAACTCTACTGCGGGGCCACTGGTTAAAAACAACTGAAAACTGATATCACCGATTCTAGTTAACTTCCCGGAGTCGGAGTCGAGGCAGCTTCACCGACTCCGACTCCGACTCCGACTCCGACTCCTGGCTGCTTGCCATGACTCCGGGCGACACCGACTCCGACTCCGAAACCCTGCCTCCATGAAGTTTGACTCTTTACCGTTCGTTCAGGACGTGCCCCTATATGGAGCGGCCGTGTGACTGACCTTGTACCTATCGATCGTTCAGGAGGCACGTCCCTCGATGGAGCGGCCGTGTGACTGACCTTGTACCTATCGATCGTTCAGGAGGCACGTCCCTCGATGGAGCGGCCGTGTGGCTGACCCTGCACCTATCGTTCGTTCAGGAGGCACGTCCCTCGATGGAGCGGCCGTGTGACTGACCCTGCACCTATCGTTCGTTCAGGAGGCACGTCCCTCGATGGAGCGTCTGTGCGCCGAGCTGCAGGGTCTCAAGGTGGCCGTCCGGAGTCTGACGGACCAGCAGCGGCAGCAGTCGCCGCCGGCGCCGGCGGCCGGCCGGGACACATGGCCGCAGCGCTCCCGGGAGCTGCGGGACGCCGTGCTGGCGGATGTGCGCGGCGCGCTGGGCGAGGAGCTGCCGCAGCTGCGCCGGGAGCTGCAGGAGCTGAGGGTGAGATGGGGGATGAGGCTGCGGCTCAGGCCCTGTGGGGATTGAATCCGAGTGGTCTGCCATACCCGGTGGTGGGTGGCCCGTTGAGATCACGCCATCAATGTTATGATCGTCATTGTTATGAACATATTCGTCTAACATCCTATTGATATAGCGCTTGCTGGTGTTTATGTGTTAAATTGCATCGCAATGGGAGGAACGATATTAAGTGCTGTTGCGTATTTTCCATCATGTCGCGCTCCCATGGTGTCTCGCTCTCGTTGTCTTTGAAGCCTCCACCTCTGACGCTCCCTGTGCCCTCCCTAGCTGGAGGTGGCGGAGATGCGGAAGCAGAAGCAGCAGGAGGCGCAGGCGCCGCCGCCGCAGCCGCAGCAGCCCGCCATGCCGCCCGAGCTGTTCGGCTTCATGGCCGCTCTGACCAGTGAGTGACTCATTGATTCATTGCAGGGGCGGGCTGGTTCGACCATTTCAGGTGTCTAGTTCCAATAAGAGCGAAAGACATAAAGGCTGCCCGTTGTGACTGACGTAAACTCTGCTGCTGTACATTACAGCATTTTGCTCGTATCGATTGGACTTGTGACCATAAATGTTTGCCAACTCTCGGAGATAGTAACGTGCTAAGATCTGAAGTTATCTGGGGTATGGTTGCGGTTTTTATTGTGTGTAGTTGATCTGTCTTTGACAGCACTAGTTAATCAGTATTACGAACTTAACTGTCGGCCCCGTTCTCAGGCATGCAGCGAGGTATGCCGCCGATGATGCCCATGGGCCTGGCGCCTCCGCCGCCGGCCATGGCCTACCCGGCCTCTGCCTACCAGGGCATGTCTCTGCAGGACACCAGTCTCACGTGAGTCGGGCGGGACGGGCGCGTCTAGTCGTCGTATGCGCGGGTGAATGTCAGCATATGGAAAATGTTGCGTAGTCTGGTGACTAAGCAACATTTTCCATTTTCATGTCCCGGCCTGCTTTTAGCAGGCGCAGCCATTGTTGGCCCGATGCATGCAGTGGTTGCTAAGTGGCTTTTTCGGTGTGATCGACCACTGTGTTGGCATTGGGATTCAACATGACATTGGGTTTTACCAATCTGCTGACTAACCGACCGACTGGCTGACTGTGGACTAACCGCTGACCATTGACTGACCACCCGTTCTTTGTGCGCCGGCAGTGACCCGCTGGCCCCCTCTGCGGCGCTGGGCGGCCAGCTGCCCGGCCAGGCCGGCCTGGCCGGTCCTCCGCAGCCGCCGGCGCCGGCCGCCGCCGTGCCGCCCGCCTTCTCGTTCCGTCCGACGGACGGTGCCGCCGCCAGTCCGGCCCCGTCGGCACCGCCCGTCGAGCCGGACACGCCGAGCTTCTCGTTCCGGCCGCCGACTGCCGAGGGCGCCACCAGCACACCGGCCAAGGTCAGTCAGGGGGTGGAGTCCGGCGGCAGATGGAGGGATTTAATTTGTCCCGGATGTCACTTTGTGGTGAATTTGGCCGTCACGGGCCCTTTGTTTCTATGTAGCTAGCATATGGGAGCAATTGGTGGCTGGGCTTTCCCGTTTATGCTCATTCGCTGAACGCCATTGAAACTTTACTTTACCACTGGAGTTGCCGCACCCAGAAAATTTAATTGACGAACACAAAAGCATGAGGGTGAGCCGCGCTGGTTGACATAGGAGATTAAGTCTTTCGATATGTGTGGAGGGAGGGGGTGCGGGGTATTTCCAGTCGCTGTGTGTGGTCTGTACTCTGTCCCCCCGGCCGATGCGTCCTGCCGCATCTCTCGTCTGACCCCGCCGTCGTTCCAGCCGTCTGCTCCTGCTAATGTGACCGTGTCTAGCCGGGAGCCGCTGCCAGCGGCCGTCTGCGCCGCTCCGACCGCGCCACCCTCCGTCATCGTGCCGCCGGAGCACATCAAACCGCAGGGTAGGTGGTACGTCCCGCCAGGTGTGAGGGAACACCGCCGTGGGACGCCGCACCCTGACGGGTCATTAGTGGTGATCCGCGGCAGTCAGGTCATAGCTGCTGCTCAGCTGGCGACTCAGTTTAGCCAGCTCGATCTGTAAATGAATGAGTTTTTGTAACTTGTAAATAGTTACTACGCAGCGTTCCGTTTTGTAACAGCCTGGATCGATCACTCTGAAGTGACGGAATATGACTTGCTGTGCGAATGTGTTCCTGAATAGAATGATTTCTATGGTTTTATGGTGTTCATTTAGTAATCCCTGCCGCCCTTCCGTCGTCAGTGGTGACACCTCAGAGGCCGACCATGGGCCTGGCGGCAGCGGCGGCGGCGGCAGCGACCGCGGACAAGTCACCGCACCAGTTCCAGATCAGACTGCCCTCCAGCGCGCAGCTGAACGTGACATCTCCACTGGGCGACTCCGGTGGGTACCGGGGGAAAGAGTGTCTCAGACTGGAGGCGGTGTCTTACCCGCTCGGGAGGGAGCGTCTTACGATCAGTGTCTTCAACGTTAAATACAACTTGCCTGTCTACGAGCATATTCTGTCCAGCGTGCTCCAATTAGTTACACCAAAGTTGGCATCATATAACGCTGCTGACTTATTCTAGATACTCCCTAGAGAATATGCCACCTGGTACAGTTTAATATTGGCGTTTACACCAATATAACATCCGCCTAACTCTATGTTATTCGCTGTCATCTAACCGCTGTGTGTCTGTCTGTTCCGACAGACAAGCCGGCCTACACGACCGTCAGCACGCTGCCCAACATCCCGGCGCCGCAGTTTAGTGCCGTCTCGCCGCTCCAGAACCAGAGCCGCTCGCCGGGCCGTGATCGGCTCGACTCCAGTAAGGATCAGTCGGGGGACGTGGCGGGACATCGGGGGGGGGGGGGGGCGCCGCGATTGGATTCATTGAGGGACTATGATCCCGGAAAGGGGAGTGAGTATGGGTGAAGTAGTCATTGGTAGTTTCCAGAATGTGTACGATTTTATGTGGTTAATGTACAGGTCTCGCGGGTTTTAGCGGTAGGTTTTGCACCTAGAAAATTTAGTGTACTTCAGGCTATATCTTCGTCGTCTTAAGCTTTTAAGTGTTGAAGATGCGATCGACTTGTTGGGTAACAAGCCGGCCATGATCGTGTAAAATGGCTTCATCGTAGATCGATTAGCTTCTGAGATATAACCGGAAATGTAAAAGTGCAAAACCTACCGCTTAATCTCGCGAGACCTGTACAAGTATCTTGGGAATGTCAGTGCCACCGGTAAGTTCTTAAGCAGCTCTAATTGCTTCCAATAAATATCGCGCGGTTCCGTCGTCTTTTGACCCCACCCTACAGTCGGGACCTTCCGTGAGGACCCTCTCTCTTCCCTGTGCCTGACATTCCCCTCCCCCTCCTCCCCACACAGCCGGCTCGTTCCACGAGGACCCCGACTACGAGCCGATGGCCGACTTCAAGCCGGTTGTGGCTCTGCCTGAGGAGGTAGAAGTGCGCACCGGAGAGGAGGGCGACATGCCGCTGTTCGCCGCTCGCTGCAAGCTGTTCCGCTTCACCGAGGGAGAGTGGAAGGAGCGCGGTATCGGAGAGCTGCGCGTGCTTCACCGGGAGGACGACGGACGCGTCCGCGTGGTGATGCGTCGCGATCAGGTGAGGTTGACGGATGGGTGGAGGAAAGGATGAACGTTCTGGGGCGGCCGCCGAGAACGACTGCTGTAACTTTTGGAATGCTCCCTTAGAATTTGTGACGTCAGCGCAGATCTAAACGATTTATTTTAAATCTTTTACTAAAACGTTTGGTAGCACGCGGTGGTATATGCCGCTTTGCGCGCAACAAGTGCCGCACTTTCAAATGTGCTGTACCTCATGACAGTACTCTACTCCCAAAAATCGTGGTGATACATATTATTGATGAGCTTGATGGTAAAATATCCCCCCCCCCCCCCCGACGCTAGGTGAATAGATAACGGACTTCAGTAACTCAACACGGTAGCTCGGTTTCGCCCCTCACATCTGACTCTCTCTCGTCCGACAGACCCACAAGGTGTGCGCCAACCACTTCCTGCAGCCGGGGATGGAGCTCAACAGTATGAAGAACCAGCCGCGGGCCGTCATATGGGCCGCCAAAGACTTCGCAGGTGGGCAAAATTCGACTCCTTTTTATACATGCCCTCAGGCATGCTACTCTGGTTTTCTTTCGATGTTTGTGCTGTTTGACGATATGTCACACTGGGAAGTCCAGTGAGTGTAGCTGTTGCATTGTGCGTGGTGGGTCGAGATCACTGACCCAAGTGATGCCACTTGCGTTGACAGATGAAGAACTAAAGGACGAGCGTCTGTGCGCCCGCTTCAAAACGGAGGAGGAGGTGGAAAAGTTCCGCGCCGCCTTCCGGAAGGGCTTGGAGCTCATCAAGGCGGCCACTGGCAAGGTGAGAGGCTTGTGGCTGAAACAGTTTGGGTCTGTGGTTCTCATTAGAGTACCTGCGAGTGAAAACGGGACGGAGGAGGGAGGAAGGGGCATTCTTTGGTAGAGCTGCTAAGTTGTGCCGTTTTCACTGGATGACCAACAAACACATGTGTTTTGATTTTGTGATGCAGTATCTCGAATTGCTTTGGTACGCAATGATTTTCTAATGTATTCTTTACTCGGTATGAAAGTTTTGTTCCGTTTCATTTCAGAGTACTGCGTCCAAGTCGCCTGTCAAAACTCCGGCGGCTGCGACCCCTGCTAAGACCCCGTTCGGCCCCGCCAAGACGCCGTCGTCCGCGTCGTCGCTGCCGGCCGCCATCCCGTCGGTGGTGAGCGCAGGCGCCGACGATAACGCTGAGGAAGACGATGACGATGACGACTGGTACGAGACCGACGACGAGGAGACCACTTCTGATGAGGAGGAGGACGAGGAACCGCTCCGGATCGCCTGTAAACCAGAGTTCAACTTCGCTGGTGGCACCAAGTCCAACAGCGCCTTCTCGTTTGGGTTCGGCGGTGGAGCTCCGGCGGCGACCACCGCGCCCACCGCGCCCTCGACTGGGTTCCGGTTCGGTGACAAGGCTCCGGCGACGACGGCCTCGACCACATTCGGATTTGGGTTCGGTAAAACCACGCCGGCAACGGGGGCGAGCTCCAGCACGGACGGCGGTTTTAAGTTCGGCCAGGCGCCGTCGGCCTCAACTCCCAGCACCACGGCTGGCGCCGCTGCTGCCGCTGCCACTGGCTTCAAGTTTGGATTGAGCACTGCCACACCGTCGACCCCGAGTACAGCGGCCAGCTCGGCGGCCACTCCGGCCACCACCACCGGGTTCAGGTTCGGACAGGGCCTGACATCCGTCTCCTTCACGACCCCTGCCGCCTCCACGCCGGCCGCCAAGACCAGTCTGGGCGGATTTAGCTTCACTACCACCCCCAACATCAAGAAGTGCGAGCCGGCGCCTGCAGCAGCCACCACCACTCAGTCCGAGGCCAAACCCAGTCCGTTCGCCGGCTTCTCGTTTGGCTCGATCGGCCAGGGGAGCACGGGTGCCCTCAGCTTCGCCGCTGCGGCCGACAGCGGGCCCGGATTCAAGAAGGATGACTCGTTCAAAGGTGGGTTGTTTGATGGAAAGGATAGCCGAACCTGAGAGTACCTCGTGTCCTTAACTTCCTGCTATGAGATAGTCAAATTAGTTCTCCGTCGATTTGTTTGACGCCAAATAGCCACACTTATGACCAGAAACTCTTATGATTTTCTGCTGAACATCCACGGCGGGCCCATTCCAAGCCGATCCGCCGTTTCCAAGGCTGACACTGTCCATCTGTGCTAAGCCTGGACACACATGATTGTCCCTGGTTCTGACACTGTGCCGCCCATTCGCTGTCTCCAGGTTTCGCCGGCTCCGGAGCGCCCGTGTTCGGCGGCTCGCCGGCCAAGGGAGCCGACGGCGAGGACGCCGACACCACGGCCGAGGAATACGAGCCCAGTGTGCACTTTGAGCCCGTGGTGCCGCTGCCCGAACTGGTCGACACCAAAACCGGTGAGAAGCCCCGCTGGTCAATGATAAGACTGCTCACTGTGCTATGTGTTCTTTCAGACTTGGGGATTTCCAGCTGTAAGACTCAGTTGTATGACTACCACCACGCAGATATAATATCGATTAGTGTTTCCTAACGTTGAATATGGTTCTCGGTTGCCGTAATTATGTATCCCAGAGTGTGTAATAGCATTAACGACTTCATGAATCGTGTCTGCCGGTGTCGCCTTTATCGGCTTCAGGTGAGGAGTCGGAGGAGAAGCTGTTCGGCCACCGCGCCAAGCTGTATCGGATGGACACGGCCACCAAGGAATGGAAGGAGCGAGGTATCGGCGAAATCAAGATCCTGAAGAACGCCGACACGGGCAAATGCCGCGTGCTCATGCGTCGTGAACAGGTAAGGAGCGGAAGGTCTGCCGCTGTCGCTGAGCTCACAGACTAGTCTGTGGGACGACGGATCCAGTCTGCAGCCGTGACTAGCCCTGTCTGTAAGCTGGAACTGACTTACAGCCTCCATCGCTATCGCGATTCTCTGGCTGCTGCGCCCTGTCTAGTCTCTGCAGTCTGCAGTTGCGACTAACGCCGCTTATATCGCCACTGCGCTGAGGCTGTGCACTCTTGAATAGGATGGGGCCTGCCGGTGACTCTCTGATCCGTTCTGGGCGCTCTAAACGCGGCATACGTCCTGATCTCCGCCCACCAGCTGGTGCTGAAGCTGTGAAGTGAGCATGACACAGGTGTGTGCGGCTAACCAGTAACCTGACCTATCTGCTCGGTTCGTCAGGTGCTGAAGCTGTGCGCCAACCACGTGATCCGTCCGGAGATGTCTCTGGCGCCGCTGCAGAGCTCCCAGTCGGCCTGGGTGTGGTCGGCCAACGACTTCTCAGAGGGCGAGGCCAGCCAGGAGACGCTGGCCGTCAAGTTCAAGACGCCGGAGCTGGTGAGTGACACGTACCGTGGATAGGGGATGGACGGGGAAAGTGGGTAATATGGATAGATGGAAGGGAAATGAGGTCTGGATGTCATTGATGGACAGGGGATTAGGAATCGGGAGGGATGGCTGGGGAGTTTTAGGGAAGGACGAAAGCTTAGACGGGGAGTTTTGTAGAGGGACAAAAAACAGACCGGGAGCGGGCATGCTGACATGGACATTGGACAGTAAATGAGCAGATATGACATGCAGCAGCTGAGTCTGACCTACCGCGGCCGTGAATCTTGCTTCATGATTACTAACACTTTTCTTTGTTATAACTTCTCAGGCTCAGCAGTTCAAGGAGGTGTTCGAGTCCTGTCAGAAGGCCGCCGCGGCCACCCCAGTCAAGCCGTCCGCTCCCAAAGCGGCTGAGGCGGCCAGCTCTGGCCCGGCCCCGTCGGCACCCCCGGCCGCTGCCTTTGGATCGACTGCTGCCGGCGCCGCGGCCACCCCGACCAATGGGTGAGGCTCCGAACGGAACGAGATCGGCGTTCTGGTGGTCGGGATTTGTTGTGTTTGGGGCTCACGGTTCGCCAATCTTAGTTTGGTGGCGACGTTCGTCAGGTCATGAATATAACATCTTGGACGTCACCGCTAGAAATTAAGTGGGCAGCCACAATTGGAGAAAGATCATTTTTGGTAAGGTGATCGATGCTGTAACATTTGTCTAGCTTAAATGCATCTCTATTCATTATTCAGATAAAATGCCACAGCGTATTGAGTTCTGCCTTCAGACCGTGATGGAGCCCTGTCATCTGTTAGCTAACCCACGCCCAGTTTTCTCTGCCGAACTGACGTCTGGTCTCCGTCTGCAGCGCCGCCGCGGGCACGCCGTCCCGCGGCTCGTTCGTGTTCGGCTCCGGCACCGGCCCGGCCACCGGCGGCCAGTTCCACTTCAGCGGCGTCAAGCCCAAGTCGCCCGTCAAGCCGTCCCGCTCGCGCGACGCCTCGCTGAACGAGTCGGCCGGAGGAGACGATAACGAGTACTACGAGGGTGACGAGGGCGAGCATCTGCTGTTCGAGCCCGTCATCCCGCTGCCGGATAAGGTATGGACGGAGTGGGGAAATGGTTGGAGGTTCGGGTGTCCGGGGATAGCTGCGCAATGGTCAGAGAACCGTTTGTTTCTGTTAGTGCATTTGTGTCGCGTTTGGAAGACGTTATTTTTTTATTAAGGCTTAATATCAACCTGGTTGAGAGTCTGAAGGCATGAATTAGAATGATGCGTCTGTTTTCGTCGAAGTGAATTAAGTGCAAAAAGGCATCAAATATTTGTACTGTTGACTGCCTGGCATGACGTCCCTCCGCGTGTAAATTGCACTGGTACCCCGTTCCACGCTCTATGTGCCGCTTTCTAACCGCATGTATTGTGTTCAGGTGGAGGTGAAGACTGGCGAGGAGGACGAGGAGGTGCTCTACTCTCACCGCGCCAAGCTCTACCGCTTCGCCAAGGAGACGGGCGAGTGGAAGGAGCGTGGACTAGGAGACATCAAACTGCTTGAGCACCGGCAGACACACAAGATCAGGTACCGATTCATCGTCCTTTGTCAGGGCATGAGGCTGAAGTCTCAGACGCAGGCACAGTCAGAATGAAAGTTATAGTGAGGCGAGTTAGCGTGGTCGCAGCTGCTGTATGTAGTGGCTGGTGATGATGATTCGTGATGTGTTGGTGGTCACTACCGAACGGCGATCTGTCTTATCGGCTGGCTGACTGGCCCTGGCGTAGATGCCGGTGTGTTGACTGCGCTGGCCCTGCTCTGTTGACGCTCCTCCCGTCTGCGGCAGGCTGCTGATGCGACGGGAGCAAGTGCTGAAGATCTGTATGAATCACCGGGTGACGCCCCAGCTGGAGATGAAGCTCAAGGACGACCGCTCGGTGGTCTGGGCGGCCACCGATTACGCCGAGCCCGAGCCGCACGACGAGATGTTCGTGGCCCGCTTCAAGACGGCGGAGGTGGCGGCAGAGTTTGTCGCCGCCGTCCAAAAGGCTCAGGTGGGTCCCGCTGGAGGGTGATTGTGTCAGCCGAATCGGCGAAATTTATAATCGGCTACCAAGACTGTGGGATCGTTTTGTTTTCTCAACTGTTTGTAAATTGCGATGTTTATGCGCTCTAATTGTTTTACATTTGCATTGACTCCTGTCTTCAAGCCTTAGCTGAGTGTATCACAGGTGCTCGTCATCTTCTTTAAACCAACATTCCCACTTTTCTGTTCGCTCCACAGGGCCGCACTGTCGCCTCTCCGGCCAAGTCTGCCCCGGCGCCGGCCGCCGCTCCGTCCGCCCCGTCACCGGCCACCCCTCAGGCCGCGCCGGCCACCTCCAAACCGAGCGCCCCGGTCGCCCAGTCACCCAGCATATTCGGCGGCGGCGCCGGCGCCTCGCCCGGCTCCGGGTTCTCGTTCGGTAACAGGTTCGGCGGTACACCGGCTACCCAGAGCACGGCTACGGACGGCCCCAGCACCAGCTTCACGTTCCGACTGCCGGCCACCGCCAGCGCCACATCGGCGACAGCAGACTCGGGTGAGTCATCATGATTCATGGGTGAACCGGGAACCCGCGTACCATCGCGCCGGACTGGTAGAGCCTCATTCCGACTGGACCATTCACATACGAGCCTCAAGAGTTTAACTGTGGACTGGGCTGTCTTCTGTATGAGAGGACTGCGCTTAAAAGTTAAATGCCATGCCCGCTAACGTGTGGAACTGGGCAGTGCGGGGGATCAATTCTCAGTCTTGAGATGTTTGTCACTCAGGCGATGCACATAAAAATGCATATTTCCTTAAATTTATGCACCACAACTGATCGCTCTCGCTATAAGCTACATGATTTTGCTAACACAGCCGTTCTTCTGACTGATCTCCTCTCCTCCCTCCTTGCCTCCGCGTCTGTACAGACTCGGACGAGGTGACTGTGGTGGGCGAAGTGCAGCCGACGGAGGAGCAGCGTGCCGCCGCCGCCCGGCTCCAGCTGCCGGCCGGGTTCTACCTGTACGAGCAGCGGCCGCCGTGCCGCGGATGCCGCGGCTGCTGGGACCAGATGCCCGGAGAGGTAAGAGTCAACAGTCAGCTGAGGCAACAGTCAGAACGAGTGTTATATAGTGAGGTGTCATTTTGTATGCATGCACGTTTTCATCTAGATTAATCGCTGCTCCAAACTCAAGTGCAGTTGGCATTTTTCCTCGATTCTTATGTTATTTTGATGTGTTCCACTGGATGTAAAACTTGAACTAAAATAACCCGTTCCGTTTTCTATCGCAGGCAAGGGGCGAGTACACCACGGATGAGGGGCCTGTCAGCTCGACCCCTAGCTCTGGCGCCGCGGTCTCCAGTACCACCACCTCCAGCGCCGCGGCCTCTGCCCCTGCCGCCGGCGCCGGAGCCGCCACCCCCAACAGCTCCTTCAATTTCAAGGCGGCCTCGTTCGCGTTCGGCGGCGACCAGAGTAAGGTCGGCGAGGCGACTCCCAAGGCGACGTTTGGGTTCGGCGCTTCGTCCGCAGCCTCAACGCCGTTCAAATTCTCACTCGGCGGAGACGCCAACAAGTCTGGATCGTCGATCTTTGGAGGAGCTGCGGCAGCGGACACAAAGACCACGTCGATCTTCGGAGGGTCATCAGAGAACAAGACTACGTCGATCTTCGGAGGAGCGTCGACATCAGATAACAAGACCACGTCGATCTTTGGAGGAGCGTCATCTGAAACCAAACCCGCCTCCATCTTCGGAGGAACACCATCCTCCGAGACCAAGACCACCTCCATCTTCGGCACACCATCGGTGTTCGGAGGCAAGGGAACCGACAAACCTGTGTCCCTCTTCGGGGGCGCGACCACAGGCGACAACTCTAAAGAAGGCCAGACATTCGGCGGCTCTGGGACTGACTCCAAGCCGAGCTCTCTGTTCGGCGGTTCGGCCTCCGGCGCTCAGCCGTCTCCGTTCGGCTCGGGCTCCTCAGTGTTCGGCAGCTCCGGGTGGCCCTCGTTCGGCAGTGCCGCGGCCAAACCGGCCTCCGGCGAGAGTGACGCCGCGGCCAAACCGACCACCACGGCCGCCGACACACAGCCGAGCTCCACGTTCGGCCTGGGCCTGCAGAGCAGCGGTCCGATTGTCGACTTTGCCGCGATGGCCGCCAAGGCCGGCCAGCCGGTCGGCGCTAAAGGTGAGAAGTGGTTGAGGCTGGCGGGAGAGTTGGGCAGCTGCTCTTTTTCTATTAGTTCTGTGCCGCTGGATGATAATAGGCAGCCATTATGCAATGAAACGTTCTTTCTCTTGCTAGGTGTTCTACATCAGAGCCTTCAGAGCATCCTTTGTATGATTTTTTTTTTTATAACGGATACTTATTGGATACAAGATATGCATTTGTTTGTGTTCGTTTTTCACAGTAACACTCATCAATGCCTTGCTATAGTGGGGTAATGAGTGTCAGAGCCTTTTCGATCGTCGTAACATAAGCTGAATGCAGCCATGTCCTCGCCCTCCACACCTCAGCCGGTACTGACGCTCCTCTCGCGGGTCGGTGTCTGCAGCCGACCCGTCGTTCCAGTTCTCCGGCGCCGGTGCTGCCGTGTTCGGCGGAGGAGCGGCGGCCAAGGGCGGCGCCGACGGCGGCGGCTCGGATGGAGAGGAGGGCGCCGGTGCCGACGACTCGGCGCACGACCCGCACTTTGAGCCGATCGTGCCGCTGCCGGAGCTGGTGGACGTCAAGACTGGCGAGGAGGATGAGAAACAGCGTCAGTATAACGGGGAGACGGAGATTAGGGATGGTGGTGGGGTCGGCAGGTGACAGGACTTGCCTCGATGCGGCAATGAGGTCAGGTAGTGAAGTAAACACCAATGAAAGCAGTTATATTCATTTTATAGGCATAATTTAATAGAGATGCCACATCTGGCTTAAGACGTTGCCTCGATCCTGAGTTAGCATTGCTATTTCGTTATTTGGTTGGTGAAAGTGCGGTGTTTGTGAAGCTCCTAATTGTTCCTGTTTCACGACGGTGGCCTGTGTGGTCTAGCCATGAGTTCTCTCCTGTCTTGTGTCTGATCTCGACGTTAATCGTGTCCCCAGTGTTTTGCCACCGGGCCATCCTGTACCGGTTCAACAAGGACACCTCTGAATGGAAGGAGCGCGGCCGCGGCGACTTCAAGCTGCTGCACAACTCCAGCTCGGGGTCGTACCGGGTGCTGCTGCGTCGCGAACAGGTCAGTCTCTCCCTGTGCTGCGCTGCCGCGAATAGCAGCTGCTGCTCAGTCCTTACCTCTGCATTGCCGTGACTGGGTCGGGTCGAGCGGCTATAGCTAAATGCTTATCTTAGTCCAGGGATAGTTCATAATGGATAGTGACTTGCGCCGTCACATATTCTAGGTCAGCCAGCGGCAGTCAGGCCGGCTGTTCAAACGCTTCAATGCACATATATCACAAGTTACAGCTCGGTTACACACACTCGTTTGCCAGTTACGCCTGTGTTTGACACCGTGCTCGTCCCTCCGCCCACCAACAGGTACACAAGCTGGCGTGCAACCACCGTGTGCTGCCCGACATGGTGCTCACCCGACTGGGCAGCAGCGACCGCGCCTGGGTCTGGTCGGCCATGGACTACGCTGACGAGGAGCCCAAGGCGGAGACGTTCGCCGTCAAATTCAAGGTAAGCGATACTGCCGTCAGGCCTGGCAAAGACGGCGCTGGGCCGATGGGATGTGTACTGTGTATTGTAGAATACGAACGGACCTTGAGCTATGTTTTAGAGTACAACTGCTCTCTATTTTGTGCGTTTGTGACGTTGGGTGATGCGTTGAGCCGTCGCCACCGCCTCCTGACCGCGCTGTTTCCACTGACAGACCGAGGCGCTGGCCAACGAGTTCAAGGCGGCGTTCGAGGCGGCCGTGCAGAAGCTGGCCGAGGCTCCCGCGGCCGAGGAGGCGCCTGGAGGGGCCGAGGAGCCGGAGGGGGCCGAGGAGGGAGAGGGGGAGGACGAGGACGGCGAGTACGAGGACGACGACAGCCCCATGTTCGAGAGACACGCCACGCTGCACGTCAACACAGGAGACGTGTGGAAGGTGGGTGGCAGTGACCGGTCCCTCCTCTCCCAGCGTCTTTTTTTTAGGGGGGGGGGGTTATAGCCGCCCTAACCTTCTCTATGTGTCAATGGGCTCGTGGGAGCTACAGCTGCCCTTACCCTCCGTTTCTTCGCCGCAGCGTCTGCAGGTCTCTAGCAAGTGGGACCCACGTACCTAACTCTCATCAGCCCTAGCTACTATCTGTCTGTTTCTGTATGGAAGGGTCTCGGCTCGTGCGAATTGAAGTGTTTGAAGCGTTCTAACCTGTCTCTGTTTCTGGTCGGCAGCGTCTCGGCTCTGGAGAACTGCAGGTGGTATACGACGAGGACGTGTATTGCGTCCGAGTCATGATGATTAATGAGGACACGGAGAACCCACTTTGCGATGTGCTCATCACCATGCAGCACAACTACCTGGTGAGTGTGGATCTGCGGAAAACGGTCGGCTGTCTATTTCATACCAGCTGGTCGCTTTATCTAGTCAGTTCATTAGCAAGTACTAGACCAAATTATATGCTTTGAAGCATTGCCGAAGTCCTTATTTTCGTTTCTGGAGTCATCAATAAGTTAACGTCTGTTTTTTAGTCGACAAGTGAAGTGTGCCAAGTTGTGTGTCCTTGCCGCCCCCGTCCCTGACCTCACCCCGCGCTCTCTCCGTCCAGCTGGAGGGCAGCACGGTCAGTTGGACGGCGCTCGACTACGCGCTGGACCCGCCGATGCGCCGCACTCTGCGCGCCTCACTCGACTCGGAGGAGGCAGCCGAGGAGCTGGCGCGTGTCATGAACGAGGGAGTGGAGATCGCGGCCGGCTCCGGTATCGGAGACACGGAGGAGGCGACCGGCGCCGCCGGCAGCGGAGGTAGGTCCAGAGACGGGGAAACATCCGCCGGTTAAGGGGAAAGTAAGCCTGGCTAGTGAGCATGCTTTCGGTGGTAGAAGCGGGGAGCAGCGGTGGACTGGTAGGCTGGGAACGTCGGTCTCCTGGCAGCTGGGCTTGTTTGCAGTGGTGAGCAGGGGAACGGCTGCTTCTTCCGTGGTGGTGGTGGGTGACATGACTGCTGAGTGCTGGGCATGCGGGGGATGTGGACGGCGATAGTTGTCGCTCCAGGAGACAATCTGTTTAAATCATCCAATCATTTTAAATCTTTATTTCCGATGTTTAGTGAATGGATACTAACACGCATGCTTGGTATAGGGCACGAGAATGCGCATACCTGTTGGTTCTTAGACTGTTGGCTCTTAGACGCATTTTCTCGCTCTCGCTGCGCTCTTGGTTAAACTAATATGGCGGTGCCGGTTGCGTTGGCAGCTCCTGTTGGTGACTTGGCGTCGCTGGTAGGCGACCAGCCACCGCAGCAGCTGCTGGGCGCCTGCGACCCGGCGCTGGCCCGGGCGCTGGCCGAGCTGCTGGCAGAGTCGGCCTCCGCCCCGCCGCCGCCGCCGCCAGCAGGTGCTGTCAATGTCGCGCGTGTCCGTGACGTGCGCCTTTGTGTTATGCGCGTATTCTGTATATGTGCGTGTTTGTCTGTGGTGGGGAGAGCTTACTCGACACAACGCATACCAAGCGCATTTGCACCGTGCTGCACACACCGTGCTGCATTTTGGCGTTACCGGTTTAAAATCTAGTCAGGGGATCACAAGCCCGTACCGTCCGGCCCTTCCACAGTCCAAAAAGCTCAACATTGTTAGTTTGTAGTATTATAAAAAAATGTCTTCTGAATACTGCTTCGTGCTCCCTCTGTTTGCACCATCTCAGTCATGAAGATATCACAGCAACAAGTGCGAATTGCCTAACGCTGACTTCTTCTGTTTCAGACGAGGAGTAGCCACATCTACCGAGTGCCGCACGCGTGTTCGCTTCACCGCTGGATGCTCGTTTCTTCTGCTGGCCACCGGCGTGATCTTTCTACCCGATGTTTTACCCGACAGGCGGAAAGGAACGGAGAAAATGGTATTACGGGGTGGTACCGTGCACGTTTTGAGGTTGTTTTTGTCACTACATGTGCCTGGATCGGCTTTCTTCATTGATGATTAATAAATGTGTTGCTGGAACGGTTCTAATTCGTTTGAGAAGCGACTCATTACGCCGACTCCCGTGATCTTGGGAAGGTATTACGGTTATTACTGGATGGTTCTGGGTGGTGTGAATGTATGCACAACTCACGATGTGTAGCATTATGCACCACAGCGTCCTACATCATCGAAACTGGATACGGATTTTATCCGCTGTCTATGCGGTTATATAATCGATATATAACGATATATAACGATTATATAATCGGTAGTTAGCGCCTGGCGATGAACGGCAAGTGATGAAATACGACGAATGAGGAGCGGCGGTACACCGAATTAAAACCAATTCGTACCGTAGTCTTATATTCTCAGTCCTCACTCATAAGAAGTGTATAAAGATCCTGGCATTAAACAACACAAAGCATGGCACAGACGCTCAAAACACTTGTAAAACCTCGCCTGACGAAGCACCACAGATGCCACTCATTGCACTCATAAAGTTCCCATTACGGCCGACTAGCATCACTCTGAGGGCACCTGGCGCGGGGGGTCCGCCGGCCGTCACCGACCCTCGACCCGGGCGCTGCGGCGGGGCACCCGGCCCTCCTCCACCGGCAGTTCGGCCGGCGCCCCACTGCCGACCGCCACGGCCGGCCTGTCGGCAGCGAACGCAAACACTCCCGTACCAGAGAAGTGTCCCTCCCGCTCGAGACGGTACAGTGCCAGTTGGAGGACGTACTCGTCCGGCACTACGGCAGCGTCAGCGGCGTCGCGCGCCGCCTCCAGCGCTCTCCTCTCCGGATAGAGGGTGAGGTGAAGCGCGTGGCGTACCTGGGCGGCGCTGAAGCCGGCGTCCAGCAGCGCCTCGGTGGTCTGAGAGACGGTGAGCAGCGGCACGGCGCGCCAGTGGGGGTGGTGGCGCAACTGACGCCACACCTCCGCCGCCGGCACCGACAGCCGCTCGCTCAGGTAGGTGGCCAGGTCGGCGCCGCCCGTGCGGTCCTCGCCGGTGCTGACGTACCGTCGGAACATGGGGTAGAAGGTACTCAACAGGTGCACGCTCAAGCAGCGCATGTTGATGGTGCGCATGTAGGAGAGCCGGTTCAGCGTGCGCTGGAACGAGAACACCATCTTGAAGAAGTTCTTGTTGTGCCGCATCGCCCACAGCTCCGGGATCTGTGGAGGTAGGGGGGTTCAGGGGGCTCAGGATGGCTGGTTATTTATGGCCATTGTCAAACGCGTCTTTTTCTCGGTGGGTGCAACCTGCACACCCGTACTTCTTCATTTAACCATGGCGAGTTCTAGGCAAATGTAAGATATGCGCGAAAGATCGATGATCCTATGATATGGATGGTGGATGCAACATGTAGTGTATATTCAGCTCACCCACCTAACCATACACCGTGCATATGATGGTGGGCATTGGTAACGGTCAGATGCTTTCTCATTTGACCTCTAAAACAGAGCCAAACAACACGACAGGCAACCAAACCTTTAACCGCTGACCTGACCGGGATAGTTCACATCGGTTCACTGACCTCTGCCATGAGTGCCAGCCTCTCTCGCACTGTGTCGGCGGCCAGCGTGAACACCTCGGCGCCGTTCAGCACCGTCTGCTCCGAGAACCCAAACTCCTCCACGATCCTGCAGCAAACACAAAGCAGAGAGCGACATGGTACGAGGCAGGAACGGGCCATTAGACACTGCACGCATGGGCTCCGAACGAGGTACAATAGGCTCAACAGCGAAACCACAACAGTACTTCACAGCCAAACAGACTGCTCTGCTTATCATTCACATCGGCTTCAATTATGGAACACGAGGATATGCAGGCGACCTGAATCATAAACGTCAGGTGTCCAAATGAACACAATCAGCAGACGTAGGTATCCACCGTCGAATGTCCTTGCCATGAAGATTGAGGCATTCACCGTACCAAACTATATGGGCCGTGCTGTGTGTACTATCGCACCTGACGATCTGTGCCGTGTTGTGCCAGGGCATGTAGGCGATGCGCGGCACCTTGCGCAGCATCTCTCGGATGTCGGTGCTGGCCACGGTAGGACAGTTCTCCAGCAGCGCCTCCAGCTGGTCAGGGTGGGTGTTCAGCAGGTACGGGTTGCGCACAATCTGCGCACGGAGAGTCAGCAAGCGTCAGTACGGTTCACCAGTCAGCGCGTTGGTCACATCCTAGCAATCAAAAGTAACTTGCCCGGTGAAACAAATCGCATTGAAACGTTATTGAAGCTACTTCTTTGACGCCAACAAGAAATTAAGGATTCTCTAGCAATTAGCAAGACCGAGATCGTTCCTTTTCCGTCCAGACTTCCTAGGAGACGAACGGACGGACATTAAATCTGCAACCGTACCTTTTCGGCGGCGAGTCCCTGTGCCTCCAGGAGCTTCAGTATGCGCGCAGTCAGTCGCAGGCTCTTGTGCCGGTTTCGCGGATACTTGGTGATCATGGCCTCAGCGTCGCTGGCGTCGCAGTCCAGCCGCTGGCGCAGGTACTGCTGGAATACAGCCAGGCGCACATCCAGCAGTGTGCGCGACTGGACCGAGCCCAGCGAGCCCCTGGAACCGACCGGGTACGTGTTTACACCGGGTAGGCTCAGTACACACAGAAGGAGAGGGGGAGACGAGGGAAGGTGAACGGCTCGGCAAGTCAAAAAGTTTCCGTGGACGTGGAGCAAAAAAAAGCGAAATACATATGGTCGCAAGAGCATAGGCGCGGGAGCCGGGGGGCAGTGGGGGCAGCTTGCCCCCCCCCCCAACTCTGGGGCCGTGGGGGCGGTGCCCCCACAGCTTTGAGACGGAATACCACACTTTTTTGCAAATGTTTTCTTTTTTGTTGAAAAAGCCGAGGGGTGAAAAATAAGTGGCCTAAAACCGGTGAGAAAACTAGATTGGGGGTACCCTAGGTTAATCTATTATGGTGTGCCCGCCCCCCCCCCCCCCCCAGTCGGAAAGTAGTTCCCGCGCCCCTGCGCAAGACCGAACTTCACGGTAAAATACGAAATTCTTCAACTTTGCAACACATCTGACACATTAGTTGGAAGCCAAGACCAAAGGACAGAATGCATCACAGCTCGAGCATAACCCAACACTCTTTATGTCTGTGTGTGACGTCCCCGCTCACCTGACTGAATCCTCCACAGCCGGCGCCAGCTGCACCGACCGGCACTGTCACACTGAACACGTCTCGGCACTCTGTACAGTAGTCATTGCTCACCTGACGGTGTCTTCCACGGCCGGCGCCAGCTCCACTGACCGGCACAGACTGCCGATGACGTCATGGCCCGCCGGGATGGCTCCGTGCGCCTCTAGAGCGAACAGGAACGAACGGTTCACCTTCAGGTAGCTGCCGGAGATACAGATGCACACAGATGAGATCTGAATCCATTACACCGGCAGAAGTATATGTCAGTCCCCCGACACGACATCATACTGAAAAACATCAGCCGAGAAAGTTCACTAGTTAAATCTTACTCCAGCTATGCCGGTATTATGTTGGGCCTTTGTTGTTCGTAGCTCGAAAGGCATTTAATGTCAAGCATGGTAGCATGACATCGATAACAAGGTCACGAAGGATTACCGATACCAATAATGTACTCACGAAGCCAGGCTGGAGACGCCCACAGTGATGCCACATTCTTCCAGAATGTGTTTGTGATGGTCGAGAGCGTAGGGTGGCCGCTTCAGGATTTGGGGAAATCGGGTCACCAGCTCCAAGTCCAGTTTCCATTTCTGAGCGAGCACAAAACGGCATGTGGACCGATTAGCAAGTGCTTTTCTAAGGGCTTCAAGAAAAGAAATATCGAAAAATATTTAGATGAACTGACCTCAGCAAAAATGGGTAAGTGGACATCTACAGGCTGGTTGGCAAAAACAACATTTTATTCGTGAGAGCCCGGCCGGATAACACGGCCAAAGGCGGCGCCGGTGCTGGGCCAACGGACCCGGCAAAACACCCCCGCACATAATCTGGCCGACAGGAGCAGCTGCGGCCAGCAAACCACACTGCGGCAGGGCCAAAGCTCCGCACATACCATGAAATGGGAGTAGACATCGCTGTACGATCCACGGAGATGTGCTGGTACAGTGTCAATTAAAAAAAAAACTCCCTTGGTAACAGATAAAATGGCCCAAATATGGTTGATTTAATATAGACTAGCCACTAAAGAGCCTACTCAAGGTTAACCCTCGCACGACCAGGCCATTTCTCATAACACGAACGACCAGGGGGGGGGGGTTGTTACGACCCCCCCTGGCGTTTCGAAACGGAAGGTCGTAGAGCTTAGCGGAAAAAACCAACGGATTGCTCTCAACGAGATCTCGCGATTGGTGGTATATTTTTTGGTCCTAGGTCAACATTTGACCTACTTATGACCGGTCAAAGGTCAAATTTTCCGAAAAAATCAAACTTTTTCAACTTTCCGCGGCGATTGCGGCAAAACGGTGGGAGCTATCGACTTGAAACCTTCACTATCGTGTTCCTTGATCAATTCTCTATCGTTTGGTATGTATTTCGTTTCCCTAGCTCTAAAAATGGCGCGTTGGAAGCGCCGGAAGTCGGCAAGGTCACAGTCGGCGGCAGAAATTCGAAAAATCAAAATTTAAATTTTTGAAATCTGATTGTATTTTTGGATTTGGGAGGTCCATTTGCTCCCTATAGAAGCTAATATTGCTGCATATTCCCATTGAGGTGACAAGAATTAGCAAAATAGTGGTTCGGGCGCTTTTCAAAAATAGTACCGGACGCTGTTCCTCTTGTGACGTCATAGCTCCGTGACCTGACCTGACCCGGTGAATTTTCTTGCACCACCCGATAGCCAATGCTTGCCCCAACATGCATGGGAAGTTTCATCATGATCCATCAAACAATGTGGGTATCACCGGCAGAAAACCTAGGGATTCGGCGCACACGTTTGGTAACTGTCGGCCGGAGGCTGTACCTCTTATGACGTCATAACTCCGTGACCTGACATGACCCGATCAATTTTTTTCGGCAAAAGATGCGCAAAGGTTGCCCCAGAGGGTATTGAAAATTTCAGCCCGCTACGACAAGCCGTTTAGCGTGCACTTCGAAAAAACCTCAGGGGGGGGGTTGATACAACCCCCCCCCCCCTAGGCGTTCTAGGGTTAAAGGTTGATGCATCTCAGCCCTAATTAAATCAAATGCCAGTTTGACCTCATTATTCTGGTAAATATGAACTTACATGCAGCAATCCAAGTGTAGACATCACATCATAATCATCATCTTCTCTTATTTCCTGTTGCTTCAGAAGTATAACATTTGCACACTTTCTACTCACACCTGAAAACAGATAATTTTTATGAGTGTTCAGTGATCACTGAAAAAAGTTGTAGGTAATATATGAAAATAGATAATTATTGTGGAGCATTGAAATGTATCCACAAAGACAAACAAAACATGGTTGGCTACCCTACATTACAAGAATGTGGGATCTACTGAATGCAGCCAGAAATTTTGAAATTCAGTCCTGCCCTATTAAAGTGTGTCTGTGGCTGTGACTGTCTGTACCGCAGTGATTCAAACCCTGCCAATTCTGAAAGAAGCTGTGCCTTATTTGTCCATCATCCACTGTTAGCTCATCATTTGACAGCCAATTTGCTCATAGGTACCCTAAATACCTGACCATACCTTGCCTTACCTTGAGGGTCATCAGAACTAGGAATCAAATTTCTGATAAATGTTGCATATTTCAAAATTAACATTCAACATAGCAATGCAGTATCCCTTGTAACTAGTTGTAAGTATGTCAGAAAGATGGATGAATTGAGAGCAGTCAGAGCAAGCTACCCAACACTACTGCTACAGATGTAATGAAGCATTTTCCAAATTTTCCAATTAAGGTACAAATAACAATGCCTAGTACATCTTCTGCATCTTCTCACATCGACATTAGCATCAGTCTTCTTACAAGGGTCTTACCATAAGTTTTCTGCAATCGCTGCAAGGCCACAACAGGAAACGTTTGTGTTATTTTGGGCATGTTAGAATCACCACCTGAAAAGGGTAAAATAGATGTCAAAAAGGTTAGATTGAGCAGAATTATTGCTAAGGTCTCCATTTAAAACAAGTCTTTTGAGAAGTCTAATAGCTTTTAATTCACCTGTTCCAAGCCTTTAGTAGTTAGAAGCCTCATTCAGAGAACAGCCATACAAATAAGGGGATGACAGGGATAGCTAGGAAGAAGTCCACTCACAGCTCCAGCTTGCAGGCTGCAATGCTGCAAGTGGTCACAGGTTCCATAATTGTGGCATCAACACTTATGGAATCAGAATTGCGGAATTACAACAAAAGTAAACAAACACAATTTTAGTCAGTGAAGGCTCCATAAACCATAAGCACATAATGACGATCCTTCTTACGAGAAATGACTTGCATATACCTGTTATAGGTTCTTACAACTTTGGGACTTTAAACTATGCCCAAAATCTTAATGAGATACATACCACTTACTGATACTGAACATAATTTTGACAATTTTTCAAACCAAAAACTTAATTACATATCATAATTCATTGTAGCGTGGAAGCAGAAATCCAATTGGGAAACAGCACCAGATCACTTTATCCTGAAGTCATGTTTTGAGGACAATAATTGACAACGAACCTCCTGTAATCCAAGCGCGCAAATTTGTGCTTACATAATAACATAAATTGAAATGGCAAGCGAGACAAAGCAAAGCCACAGCAAAAATGTGTTCAGCGACGCCATTCGTAACGACCAATATGACAAAGCAGCCAATCAGCAACAGGAGTCAGCAATTATGGAATTTCGAAGATACATACTGTGTTTTGTCATTTATGAAAAAGTATCACTCTGCCTTCAGTGACTTATGTTCAGAAATATAATACAATCCCTAAAGGGCGTTTTTTTCTATTTCTGATAAAGAACTAAACCGAACGTCGTTAAAGGTTTTCTCGACTCACGCATCGTGAGCAGGATTGTCTTGAAAATACACGAATGCTCTGAAAGGATTGGAAACTCTGCGCCATAATTGGTACGAAGAGTTGTTGAGTCACTATGTCTAAATTATTGTAGAGCCTATAGATTCTTCTTGACGCCAGGCATATTACTTATGAGACGCAAAAATGACTATACGTACTGCAATATCAACACAGAAGTTCGTTTTCTTAAGTAGGATTGCTATAATATAGCTCATATTCCGAGTTAAATGTCAATTTTCAAAGGTGTATATTGTCACTATTAATGACCACAAGCCACAATAGGAAACGGCCGAGGGCAGGGATCAGGGGCCGTATTCACGTCGACTTCGTAAGTCGATTTTCTTTCGTAAGTATAATTTGGTATTCACGTCGACACTTCTTAAGTTTTTATCGACGGAGTTCACGTGAATAAAAAAATTAACTTAAGAAGTAGGTCAAACTCACGGAAATTCTTACGAAAATGATCGACGTGAATACGGCCCCTGGATTCAATGCAGTGTGTACCAAGGCTATAGAACTCCAGGGGCTGCCCCCCTCCCCCCAGGCAGCCACTGCTGCCCCCTCCTACGTCCCTGCCATGCCCCCTGTTCCCAGGTCTATGCAAGTTTTCCAATTGTAATCCAGAGGCTGTTATATTGACTCGATAAGCAGCAGCTCCCGGTTGGTGCCGACTGCGGACCCGGCAGCTCTCACGCAGCCACCGTCGGTGCCCAGCCCCAGTGCGCGGCCGCAGCAGCAGCTGTGGCCCAGCAGGCGGCTGGTGACGTCACAGCCACACAGGTGCGATCGGGATCCGCCGTCGGGTCCCGAGGGCGAGGGTGGGGTCGTTGACGGAAGACGGAACTGACGAACGGTGGCATTACAAGCTATGGCGAAATCGGTCAGACATCTGACTTGCAAGCAGTGAATCAGGCGACGCTTCGGAAGCATTGTTACTAAAAACAGATGAACCATTCCCATCCGCACATCGGCTCCGGCGCTGGACATCAATTTGCCAGTAGAAGTGGCTACGTTTACGATTATAGCTTCCACAGCTGACGTTCGCTATTCGACGATTGTATTGTAAATCCTCAGTTACTCAGCAGCGAGCATACCGGTCAGATACTTTATATACGATGAGTTTTGTGCCAAAATCGTGTCCCTCTAACATCAAAACACCCGGATTACACTAAACAAACATTTGTTAATTGTGGAGAATATTTATTCTTTCTAAATCAAACAATTTCATTTACAGAATGCCGAACGGGAGCACAGCGATAATTGATCATAAATATTGATAAAAGCCCACCCGATTGCAAGCCAAAGTAACACGATTCATACGATGAGGAGCACAACACTGGACGCGAATAGCGGCCGGCGAGCTCCAGGGCGCGCTGTGTGGCCACTGTGCCGCTCTGCGGGCGCCGGCCGGCCCGCGGCGCGCCGCCGGCTCTCCGGGCCGGCGGCCGCGCGCTCGCTCTCTCTCTCTCCCTCGGAATGTCTGTCTCTCAGCGTGGCTCAGTCCGTGCCGCCGGTGGCTCTCTCGCTCGCTCACTCGCACACGCGCGCGCGCACACGGTGGGCGGTCAGCGCGTGCGCCCGGTCGCTCAGTGAGTGGCTGTGCGGTCCGTCTAGCGAGCGGCGCTCTTGAGCTGATTGGAGAGCCAGTCGAGGCCCTCGTAGAGACCGTCTCCGGATGTGGCGCACGTCGCCTGGATGTACCAGTTGCGGTTCCGCAGCGAATGCAGGCCAAGCTTGTCGGTGATCTCGGCGGCGTTCATAGCGTTCGGCAGGTCCTATCAACACAGCGCCCGTCAGTTCAACCCATCATTAATCCGCCCGCATCACAGTTACGCAATACCATACAAGGAAAAGTCGACCAACCAGACCCGCAACAAAGCAGCTGCTGATACGGGTATGCCAGTCATTCGTTTGCGGTCAACGGTTCATATGCAAAAAACGGACCCAAACCCGTTAACCTCACGTAAAATCCTACGTAACGGAGGCTAACTCAAACAGCCGTAGCACCCGTCCACATCACCCACAAGTCGAGTCTTGGACAGCAAACAGAAGGTTTCATAACTAGATCAATGCTATGGTTCGCCGGATACTCTCCGAACGCTGGCATGCAGCTGCCACTCCCATGGATGAGCTATTATTGCCCCAGGTTCAGAGCAGTGATTGACCCACCGATAAGCCGATATCAGACCTGACAGTTCGCCCACAACTTAATCACGGTAGCTGAAGCAATAAGCCGTCAGTGGAACACAGCAGTCGCCAAGAATACCCCCAAGACAACCAATTACAATAATGATATAGGACAGCTTAGCTGCGAGACATGGGTTTTTAGAAAATCGTTACACACTGGAAGGGATACAAACCGCATATAGACAAAAACCACGGCGGGCGACATCGCATGACATCGCGCGGCTCCTGCGATCAGCGTCCGTCTCCAGCGGACAGACCCACAGACTCGCACCGGTGCCGTACCTGTTTGTTGGCGAAGATGAGGAGCACGGCCTCCCGCAGCTCGTCCTCGGCCAGCATCCGCATGAGCTCCTCGCGCGCCTCGCCCACTCGCTCCCGATCGTTACTGTCCACCACAAAGATGAGGCCCTGTCGAGAGGGAGAGGTGCGGTCAGAACGGAGGGGAGGCACAAACACTGCAGGACAACTAAGGGCAGATGGGAAGAACGATGGGTCAGCATAGTATAGATGGGGAGTGGCCTGATGACAGAAAATCTCAATGCTGGCTTAATGAGTCTGTCCCCTTTCTTGCCATTTCGTATGTGAACGTACGTGGTACAAATACGAGGTAGCAATGACAAGACATTGGCGTTAGTTGTGAGTGATCCAGCTAAGCGACTTGGTTACTCAACAGTGACCTGTCATGCAAACTTAAGACCAAACACGGCGAAAAGGATAAAGACATAAGTTAGCACATGATCTTCCCACAGTCGATCACGTATAATTAATTTTGCTAAGGGCATAGCGATACAGTTTGCCACCGACATACCGAAGCAGCTGAAATAGTAGGACGGATGTCATTTCGCGAGCTCAAATGCATAGCTTGATTTTGATCACAATTAGGCGACGACATCCCAAATATACACATTACACTTCAATTTGTCAGGTATTCGAGCAGCGTCCCATGTCCGATCGTGCTAAAAGTCGATTTGTCATACTGTGGTAGCTGGGCATCAAGGACATTCGTGTTGCGCAAACGGTATTGACGCGACTGACAGCATTAATTAGACAAAACATTTTAACTAGCATTGCTCGTTTCGTAAGGTTCCAAATTCCATTGCTTTGTATAAGTATACGAAATAATTGTAAACACACCGAACCAGTAAGTGAGGCGCCAACCAACAGAACGAACCGGTAGTTATGTCTTACGTCGTAAATTTGGCAAAAATGACAGCCATTTGCGGCACATGAAAAATGAACATTTGGAGCACTATGGCTGAATATGGCCTTTCACGGCCGAACTAATGCCCCGTATGTGGACGATGGTGGAGCCAACGAACCAAGAAACTGACGGTCACGGTACGGACCTAACGTCAGCGAGTTTTCACCCAAGCACTCCTATACGATCAACAGGCGACCAGCCGAGACCTGATTCGACGCCTAAGGATGCAGAATACCCGTGGCTGGCTGTGGCTCAGCACTCTGCACAAAGATGACGTCATATTATCGTACGCCGATTGGGTGGCGAGTCTGATGTCATACAACTGCTACATTGACTCACGGCCGACAAGGTCACTTGTCCAACCGGATGGACAGAACGTTACGGCCGCCTGTTTATTTATAGAATTTATCTTGGTTATGAAAGATAGCCGCGGCTGCAACCAGTGCATTCAGTATTCTTGCAGAAATGCTGAAGAAGTTAGCGAGCGGGTTACGCTCACTAAACCTGCTGAAGTACGGGGTATCGCCGATAAATAATTCAAAGCCACGTTTTATGACACGGACCGATAACAGTTACCAACACGATTCGCAAACTGATATCGTGTTCCTGTTTTATCGCATAACGTTTGCAATCCTCAAACGTACGCATACATCCTAACGATACCACCAATTTGAGTCGGACTAGTGTGCAGTTTAACTGTTCTAAAACAGCCCCATTTGATATTGTGTCATATTCCCGCTTACAAAAGCATTAGTTGTCATGTCAAGAACATGTGCGGGTGGATGGGTGGGAGGAGAATTTTTTGAGGAGGACAAGGGGAGAGATCGAGAGAAAGGCCAGGACAGACGCCTCACCTGTGTGTTCTGGAAATAATGCCTCCACAGAGGCCGGATCTTGTCCTGACCGCCGACGTCCCATACTGTGAAGCTAATGTTCTTGTACTCTACAGTTTCGACGTTGAAGCCTGGCGGAGACAAAGCAAGCGATAAGGTAACCACAACAACATTCAGCAATTAAATAAAACACTAAAACACCGCCCACACAGCAGTGAGCGGATGCGGCCGCGATACGGTCCCGGTTGTAATAATCCCAATCAGCGGTGAGCTGGAGTCTGTGAGTAACGGCAACACCGGCGGCGGACCGGCCGGGGTTTACCCCGGCTGGTGAGTCACCCTCACCGCAGCACCCGCTCGGACCGGGACGCGTGGTGAGACAGGGCACGGCCACTGGTGCGACTGGCGCTCAGCTGTGACGGCGCTGAGCTGTCACAGCGACCTCAGACGGTCGCCAAGGGGTGGTCTGAACACTGGGACATAGTGGCGACGGGCCGCCGCCCGGGGGCACATGTCCCTGACTCACACCACAGTCACACAGTGCACATGGTTGGGGATACAGAGACTGTACGCAATTGTCCGATAGACACAACTGAGACTTCCTGACCGAGACTGTGCTCTGAGGATGGTGCTAAAGAATAACTATAACTAGCATATGACACTTATAATTCAATCATCATTCAGCAACAACAGGAGAGGGGATAGGTAGGTACTGCTGAAAGATGATGGCCACAATCAAGCAGGTTTAAATATACAAAGCGACAAATGCGGTATAAAACAGCATCGTAAATACGCAAAGAACTTTATCACCGACAACGAGATTCATAATGGGTATTACGTAACAGGTTACCATATCAAAGCTTTCTCATGCAACAATTGAGGCAAATGAAGACACTTCTTACTGACACAAGCCAACCATCGATGCTAAAATCAAAATATTTATCAGTAATCACACAAGCCCTCCTTGAAACAGACAACAACATTAGCTTCAGCTTACTGTAGTGGGTGCAAGCATTTTCAAGATAAAAAATCTAGACTAAGCAACCATTCTAAACCACTCACCGATTGTGGGAATTGTGGTGACGATCTCTCCTAGTTTGAGTTTGTAGAGGATAGTGGTTTTACCGGCAGCGTCCAGTCCGACCATCAATATCCTCATCTCCTTCTTGCCGAACAGGCCTTTGAAGAGCATTGCGAAGGCATTTCCCATGATTGGTGTCTGCAGATGGTCGGGTGGCCTGTGGGGTGCAAAAACTGCAATTAGAATACGAATGCTCAACAGCTCACTTGAAACAATCAAGCTAGTGCACTCACTTCAACCAGTAGTGGTCAGGAAATGATGACACTATAGTTTATTTCATTTATTTTACTGCTCATATGTGCATTTGGACAAATGTCATTTCTCCTAGTGACTGCGCCTATTGTTAGGCATGCTGTCTGTTGGTGCTTTTATACAATGCACAATCAACAATTAAGTTCTTGAAAAGCATGGATGCGGAGCCGTGGAAATTTCAGACGGCTCCGGCTCTGGCTCCGGAGAAAAAAAATCGGCTCCGGCTCCGGGTGAAATGCCATGTCGGCTCCGGCTCCGGCTCCGAGTAAAATGGTCCGGCTCCGGCGGCCCCGGCTCCAATACTCAGTAGATCCCTTATGCAATTAAATATGAGTGGAAGGAAGAAAAGACGATGGGATTGGTGCACGTTGCTTCTGTATTTGCATAACAAGGCTATTTTCATATTTTGAATACCGCATGTTTTACTGCCTTGAACTGTCAAAACCAATTACAGGTCAATAACTTTTTCCTGTTAAAAAAAGGAGCCGGAGTCGTCCCCTTTTTTGACGGTTCCGACTCCGGCTCCGGGCAAAATGTGCCGGCTCCGGCTCCGCATCCCTGATGAAAAGTCATTCCCTCCCCATGATCTGCTACCTGTCAAGGCAGTATGGTGAAGCCAGTGATGACGATCTCTGCATAGACATCCCTCAGCCTTTTATGGAACAGCAAGGCTACTGTAGTGAAAGCCTAGCTTCCACCATAGTGAACCTGCCTCCACACACTGTGTTGGAAGCAAGCTATTTACTGCTCTGCTGAGAAATGAATCTTGATATGTAATACAATATAAAAACAATGAAAAAATGTGCTAACATCAAACTTCATTTACAATGCATCTATGCAGATTGTAACATCATTTGAAGAATAATTTTGACTTTAGGAGTGGCAACCAAATGTTACATAGTGAAACAAAAATCATGCAGTGAACTTGCAACAACTGTATCTTTGTACCTAATTGTTTTGGTCCACATTATAAGATGTGTTTCCAATAGAGAATAAACAAATTATTTAAGAAACACAAGATGACACAGGGTCATTGTTATCTTTATGATTACGCCCCAAGGAAATGCTAAAAATTGTTTCAGCACCATGTCAAATTATTGCAGTTCTCACTTCCTAATAACAACCAGCACCAGATATGTTGTTATATAACAAAATCAGATGCACCCTAATGCAAGTGAATAAATTGTTTGACCTCACAATGAAGTGTGACACAAGCTTTACACTAAAATAAATTTAAGACTTTTCTCAAGCAAGATACTATAAGTAGCTGGTACCTTCTGGGCACTAAGAATAATCAATTTTGCAGTGGGTACCCTTACAAAAATCTTCAGAAGCCTGTTTCATCACCACTCCTGGTCACTTGATAATGGGTAGAGAGTCAGTGACACAGAAAGAAAAGAAAAAACACCTTGGTAAGTTAAAAAGTAGGTACCTATCCATCCTTGAGGTGGCCTGGAGCTTGGGCCACTCATCTCAGTGGTCATATGCCTGATGCCAGTTGCCACCCAGTATCTCAAACTACCTACTCATTGCTGTGATAGTTCCACTCAAAAACTGATAAAATAAATACCCACATAACGGGGAATTTACATTTAAGAACTAAGCACCTACTTCAAAATAGCTCAAATTCCCTGTCCAAAATTATCACTTCAGCTACCAGCACATATAAGCAAAAATATAGCCAGCGAACCAGTTGACAGGTCAAGTCATAGACTGACAGACAAATTCAGGAGCTCCAGAATTCTAGATACAACTAGGCACATATCCAAAGTTATACATTGTTATGTAAGATTATCAATAAGTAACATCCTGATAACATTAAAAACGAAAAGCAACAAAGCTCCCAATACCGAGAACCTTAACTTAAATATATGTGTCATGATCACGGGGAAGGCATCTGAAGTCTGAACCATTAAAAAGTTAAAATAAATATTGTAACTTCATCATATAAGTTATAACTTTGTTAGAAATGCATGAAATACATGCAGCATGCTAATGAAAAACAGCAACCCAACAGTGCCCTGGTACACTTTAATTGCTGAAAAATAGCTTAAGCAAACTATTGATTCTCCTGCATCAATTATGTACACACAACTACTCTTGTTTGCATCTTGAACCATGCCTGTTTTCGCGCAAACATATGTGCAGGCGCTCCACTCCGGTAGTAGCAACTGCTGGTGCGCCTTGTGTCTGCGGGTTCCTACTGTATCCCTGCCTACTCCTTCCTGTCTGCAGACGTGAGATTGGGAACCCCACCAGGTGAGTGAACCAGGTGAGTAAACTGCAAAGTGCAAAGTGAAACTCCTGTGATGTTTTGATGGTTAAAAGTGTTTAATTGCTTTCATTTGATTTGATCAGAGAAAAGGTCAGTGATTTAGCACATATAAAATAAGCCTGAAAACTGCAATAAGAACAGGTGAAAATAAGACAAATCCATTGAAATTTGAAACCCTTCCAGATTATTGAACAAAAATTAATAGCAGAAGCACCATTTTTCGGACGCCAGTGAAAACAGGGCGCCGAAGGGCATATTACGTCATGTGACTATTGAGAAGCTCTCCCCCTCTTTATGCCTTCTAAACAGTGATTGTCACGTGGTTTGTGTGAGTGAATTTCAAGAGCCTTGATCAAATCGCCCCAGGCGCCCTGTTTTCACCGTCCTCCCATATCAGTTGGGCAAACTAGACTTTTGGAATCAAAATATGGAGGCATCAATATTTTGATTCTGGTGGGAGGAGCCATGACCAAATATGGGCATGGAATCAATTTTTTGATTCATTATGGTACACTTTTGACTTCAAATGTATCGTTACGGTTGAAAAAAGGCCCATGACGGCGAGATTTTTCTTTAAAAAGGTAGAAAAATGTGATAGGTTTGCAAAAATTGTTACCTCAAAACTAAGAAATTGTCCCTTTGGCCTTGTGAATGGGAAAAAGACAGAGCCACTGTCCATCACGTAAAAGCTGTTTTGAGGAAATCACACTGTATGTTATTTTTGTATCATGAACCGCCTACTAAACAATCAGTATTTGTGTAAAATGGCAAAATGAAATTTTCAAACCCCCAATTATCATTGTTGTAGTGCTTTTATATTTATTATATGGTTTTTACCTGCTGCTTTAGTTTTTGTATTCTTGACATGTAAAAAATGTGAATTGTTATCAAATGTAGTGAAGATAAAGTACAACAATGCTATAGGTATCTGTTGCGGTGCTGAGGATACCACTAAATGAGAATAATAGCAAGATAAATGCTGTATTCCTGCAAGTTATTGTTGCCTATCTGTTAACATTACCTGTGAATCAAAATATTGATTAGCCAGCTGATGGGGAATCAATATTATGATTATCTGTTTAAAGTGAATCAATTCCTTGATTGCCTTTCACTACCTATAGAATTCAAATTGTTATGATAGGAGCAATATTATTTTGCTTAGGAGATAGTTCCAGCATTTCTGTTCAAGATCAGGCATGCTCCTTCTTGAAACACTCTCTTATTTTTATGTGATTGGTAAGTTAGAAATGGTCTGCATTTTTGCCCAAATATGGTCATAAAGAATCAATCTTTTGATGCCTCCATATTTTGATTCCAAAGGTCTAGTTTGCCCAACTGATATTTCAAAGGCTACCCCAACAAAAAATACAAAACTTAATGAACAACCTTTAAGAACCATTGCAAAATTAATTTAAATAAATATTTCAATGATATTATGTCAATATCCATACAAATTATCCGATAAAATACCTAACAAGAGCAGATGAATCAGCACCGCAAACTGCGCCACTTTAAGCACGTGATAAAAAGCAGCCATCTAGCTGGACTAAAATGAACCGTACCGCACCGGAATATGCTTGAAATAAGAAAAAACGTTAAGTAGTCACAGCCAGATATAATAAATACTTACTTTAAATTAGCTCCAGCCACACACACCGCCACTAACGACGCCCAACCAACTGTTTTAGGCCAAAATGGCGGAAGAGATCGGTTACCAGCTGATGGTCAACAAGCGCTTTGGTTATGCCACGTGAAAGAGGGTTACCTGAATGATTAATAAGGACCGTTATCCCAATTTGAATAGACAAATTCAAGTTAAAATAAATATTTAAAACTGTATTTCATTCCTACGGGTCAAATACTCTAGTCAACACTGCACAAACGGCATATTAAATAAAATTTGATATAGATGGCAGCACAAGCAAGATCGTCTCTGAATCTAGTGATATTTAGAATTATCCCTAGAAATAGCTACCTTTATCAAAACCTGAGATATTTATAGGCATTGCCTGAAATGCCTGAAATGCACCAATCAGAATTCGATTCCAAAGGCAATCATAATATAATTATAAATTGCATGGTCTGCTCCTCAGTCTTTTCGTTTTGGAACGCCGTTTCAATATTTATGTAGGTACTTATTACTTAACATAACGCAGCTGGCATCGAAGGTTCAGATTCCCCGTAAGTAGGTACGGAAGTGAAGCTCGGTTTCGAGTAGGTAATGAGTCTCTACGGCATTCGATACCTAGGCTATATTATGAAGATTTGTTAACGAGTTCAGCAGACTCAGAGTAGCGGGGAATCGAGAAGCCCGCGGCTCATTTGAAGCCGGTCGAGTGGGGGACCAGTCCGACTTTGATAGGCACGGTAAGCTTCGGCCTTCGCATCTGCAAATTCGATTGGCAGCCTACAAGTCACGGGACAGGCACCACCCGTCTCAGCAGAATCCAAGGGGACTTGAAGATGACAGTTCGCTACAGTAGCCGATCCGATTCAGCGAGCTTCAGGATGCGTCGGTGACTAGCGCCTCGCTGTTGCCTAGGTTCAGTGTTCCGACTTTTTTGTACTGGTGGCTCACCGTCTTGGTGTGAACTAGTCCGCGCCTGGCGAGGCACTCTCGATATTTCGGTGGATTTAGTGCACGGCTTGTTATCTTGGTGCATTTAGTTGTCGGCTCGCCACTGTTTTGGTGAGCTTGTAGTTGACAGCTCGCTCTCCCATAAACGTTTTTACACATGTTTGATAAACGTATTTTATAAAAATGCTGCACTGTAACACTTTAACCCTATTCCTGGCGGGCTCCGCCGGGACAAGAAACTGGCGGGGGGGGGCCGATTCGGCCCCCCCTTCAGATCTCAAAAACTACACATCGCAGCGACAAACGGTAAACGGCATCGGATACGCACGGTCAAGATCTACAATTTTTACTAAGGTCATTTTCAGGTCAGGTCAAAGATGACGTCACAGGGGTCGAAAAAGTCAAAATGGCGGCGCTAGATATGGAGAGAGTTTTTCTCGAATAACTTTCGAATTAGTCTTGATAGGAACAAACTAAGGGCATCATCGTGATCCTCTCGTCAATCCGCATCGAATGATATATATGTTGACCTCGAAAGGTCAAGGTCAAAGGTTGACCTCAGGTCACGTGACCTCGAGGTCATCATGCATATCATTCGATGCGTATTGACGAGCTGAACACAATGAGACCATCCACGCGTCTGTATCTTGTTCCTGTACGGAGTTATTGGCCAAAAACCTTTGGTGACCTTTGATGACGTCACATGACCTCACAGCTGCCCAACAGCAAAACAGACCTCAAGGTAGTGAAGGTTGATCGTATATGAAGTCATGTATGGTATATGGGGCCATTCCGACCCGTTTTAGTGGTAAAAACAGGGAGTTGATTTTTCCCCCATTGACTTATAATGGGGAGGTCGCGAAACTGACCTGACCTTAGGTCACCGATATCAAAATTCCGAGATATACAAATTGCACATACTGGTACCCTAACTAAAGCCTGAAGAGAAGAAATTGATCGGTCAAAAACTCTAGCTCTGGCGTGATTGCAAACTTTTCTGAGGTAGGGTCACCAAACCGCCTCTGGTGACCTGACCTGAGGTCAGATCAACTCAAAATTTTCAGACATGTTGCGTAGAAGCCTTTTAGGAAAAGTCAGAAAATTTGAGCTTCCTAGCTCAACGCGTTTGGGAGAAATAACCAAAAAACCTCAGGGGGGGGGCTCCTGAGCCCCCCCCCCCGCCAGGAATAGGGTTAACGTGATAAACGTATTTAACGTGATGTCTACTCAACAGTCTGCCTCCCGGTGTCATCGAACAACGCCCCGCCCAATTCGCCCGTGCGGCCAAGGCTGCAGTCTGTCCGGCGATGGCGACCGCCCGACGATGACCCGTGTCAGGGTCAGGGGGAAGGAGGTGCGAAATCCGTGTGCAGTGTGCTGTCTTCAATCGTCCGTATGTATATAGAGAGACGAATGTCCAGCGATTGAATATGTATGCCTGTGTTTCTTGTCCCCGCATGTCTTTGTTCATGCCCGACTCAGACTCTACATACTCTGGACTAAAATCGCCACGCCCCGTGTGGATTATCCATGACGGTAATACAATACAATACAATACAATACAATACAATACAATACGATGCGTGATAGTCGATAGACGTGTTTCAGAACAGCGGTGACGTGACCTCCGCCTTCAGGTGCACACCTCCCTCCTCGCCTGTCGTGAGAGGCGCGCTGACTACCGTAGTGTTCCTACTTGGACCTCACTCTAAAATATCCCGACCTTAGCTGAGACTGTTCAATGGTGTGCGATTGCTTATAAGCGTCAGCAGCCGCACTGCCTGTTCTGAACAAATAACAATCAACAGTGTGTCTGTCTAAAGCACCTACCTCGGGCTGCAGTCGCGGTCGCGACCACACGGCGATCGAGACATGCGGCACAGCATACCTTCAGGCGCTCACTACTAGCGCCATCTATGGAGAGAAATGTAAGTTATAATGGCGCCACCTATGAAAAAGTAGAAAGTTATCGGCTCGCCTTCGCCAGTGATTTTCATTTCGTTGTCAACTTTTGCGATCGGAATTATTTTGCATTTATGATAAAAACAATGTATTGACTTTTTCTCCAAGTAGAGATTTCAGTTATAACTTACGACCTGCCAGCTTTTGCATCGTAGGGCACTTCAGTCTTAACCGGATTACCTATACATACACTCGGGTAAATTTTACGGAGGTCCGAGACGGTTGTCTTTCAATTTTCAAGGTGATAAATTGTTCACCTCAATCCCCAGGCATCCATGATCTCCCTGTTCCAGTTCTTATCCGTCTGTCCCACTCTACTTTTTTTGGACGGTAGTCCGTTTGACGTCTCACGTCACTGCCATGCTTGTGAACGGTGAGGCCGTTTTCGTGAAATGATGGTCGCGTCTGGCTGAGCGAGTGTGCGTTTTCTACAACGATTAGCAAGCTTCTGGCACTCGAACTGTCCGTAAAATTCCCACAGCCCAGCCTTCGTACATCAAAACTGACACCAAGCATCACAATGTGCACAATGTTTATTATCATGTCTTTTACGATAAATAAGATCAATAATATCACAATTGGGTGAAATAAACATACGTCTTATGTACATACAAAAAAGCGTGCAACTGAATTAACATTGGACACACTAACACAGCAGAACAAATGGTGCAGTGGTCAACTGCCACTGAAGAACAGACGTCAACGTTCAACATCACTGGCTGAAGTAGGCCACAGTGGCCCTGCGCTCACGCGTACAAAGTTTGGCAATTATGATGGAAGGTATGACGGTTTATGGAAATGATGATACCGGCCATCGAGCGCCCCAGTTCGGTCCCAGTGTACGAAAATGACCCAGGGGAAGGAGAGTGCCTCCGTGCGGCGTTGGCACGACGGGAAGACACTGGTCCAGTGAGCGCCAGGAGTGACCACAGCGATACCTGAGGAACAGCGTGTCGGCCAGACATGGGCCACCGACACTGACACCGTGTCACTGTGGGGACGACACCGCGCTATAACACTGACACACGCAGTCGGTGTCACCTCTGACTCTGACTCTGACTCGCCGCTGTGACTCGGGCGGCGGCTCGCGGTCCGCCGGTCCCTCGTGGCCCGTCTCTGGCGCCTGGTGCCCTCATCTGACGGCCGCCGAGCGCACAGCGCCCCCGGCCGTACAACACACAATCACAGTCGATCGCGGCAGCCGGGGAGTTCACCGGTCCGTCTGCCAGTCCACAGGCGTCACCACGCAGTGGACCGGCACCGCTGTGGCCGGGTGGGCGGCCGGCGCCAGGCCCACGCGCACCCCCACCGCGCCGCCGGCCGCCGGCTCCAAGCACAGCGGCGCCTTGGCGTACTGGTAATGCGGCTTGGACTCGCGGCGCAGCATCCTGACGGCCAGCAGCACCAGGCCGGAGAGGATGAACAGGCCGGCGATGGGCACGGCGATGGTTGCCGCGCGCAGCCACAGCTCGCCGGAGCGCTGTTGGGAGTGCTGCTGGTGCTGCCGGCCGCCGCCCAGACTCAGCAGCTCCGCAGGCGGAGTCGGCAGCGGTACTGCAACAAAGAACAAGGAGAGGTTAGCTACGGTGTTGTTACAGAGAACACACGACACTGTAAACGAGAGTGGGACACGGTTACGGGCATCTAAACAGGGTAGCTGTAAATGCGACGTCGGAGAGGGTACGACCAGCACGGGTCCGACGAATCGTCCACCATGAGCGCTACTTTAATTATTTGTGACGAAAGTGGGTGATATGCTACACACGAAACACGGACAGTCACATGTAACGCACAACTGAACATGACTCGAGAGTCCGAGACAGAGCACATAAAAATATGCATTGTTGTACTCATGCGCCAACGGCCAAATGGAGCCCGAACTCCGAAGCATAAGTTCTCAAGCGCTATACATCCTGCGGATGTCGTTAAAATAATCCATCCGGCCCCGGCGCCTAGCCTTGGTCCGTTTGACAAATGACGAGTCTGACAGTCAGACGTAAATATACAGGACTGGGTGCGCGTGACGACCAACGGCGCTCGCCAGACTTCCCGGACCACGCCGGCCGCCATGCCACCCCAGCGGGTCTGTGGACCTGGACCTGGACCCGGGGGGGGGGGGGGGGGTCGGCGTCCGGCGCTTCCCATCCCCACTTCCCGCGGCGTCCTCCCCAATTGGAGCGGCCGACCACTAATCTAGCTGACCGCCGAGCCGGCACCACTGAAAATCGCCGGTCCGCAAATTACACGTTACCCGCCCCCGAGCTTCGGCCAGCGGCCGCCAGATGTCAGGCGCGTGGGCCGGGGAATGTGCCGGCCAGAGGCGCGTCGACAGGCCATACCAGTGCAGGGTCGAGACGAACCCATAAACAAACAGAGAGCCGGCCGCCGACAGAGCGGCAGCGGCGGAGCGGGAGGGGAGAGAGGCAGCGGCCGAGCGTGCAACAATCGGTATATCGCGGCCCATATATCGGCGCTGGCAGCTACGGGTACTGGCCGGGGTGACAGTCATTGAGCCGGCGGTGCCGGCTGCCGCTGCAGCAGTCACAGAGAGCCGCCGGCGGTCTCTGGCAGTACCAGGCGGCGCCGGACGGCTGCGGCGGACCGGAGACGGCGCCGGACCGGGACCCGGGACGGGACGGGACGGACGGGCGCAGCGGGCAGCCACCGTCGCGTCGGCGCCGGCCGGGGACCGGGGCCGGCCGGCCGCAGAGATGGAAGATAAGTCCGCCATGAGCGGCCGACCGGCGAATTCCACCGGACCAGCACGCGAGGCAGTGCTCCTGTCGGCGCCAGGGCCCTAAACTGCCACTACTTGCTACTAACAAGGCTGACCTTGACAATGAACTATGTCCCGTGCCACTGAACAAGCTAATTTACGATGGATTTGTGGTCGGCACTCTTTCAACTCCCCCCGCTCAACAGAAATGATCCCACAAATAATCCTACTCTGCAGATCTCGCCGGCTACCATACTGAAGTTTTGCTACGACCGGACACAGTTCAGTACCAAAACCAGCAGCGGACAGGAGCGGCCGCCGTATGACTAACTGTCGCACCGTTAGAGTGCAGTCACCGGCACTTTACCGGTAACCGGTGGCGCAACAATCGGCCGGCCACGACGTCAACACGGTAGGTCTGTCCCTCGAGGATCAGAGCTCCCTCTACCGAGAACTCGTCCCTCACACAGGATGTTCTAACTTCTACCGAGGGCCAGTCCCTCACACTTCCTCACGCTTTGGGTCCGTCCCTCAGGCAGCTACCTCCGTGAGCCCGTCCGTCCCTCAGACAGCTACCTCCATGAGTCCGTCCGTCCCTCAAACGGCTCTTTCCAAGGTAGAGCTATCCCTCACGGCTCCCTCCGCCGTCAACTCGTCCCTCACAATTCCCTCCACTGCACAGGGTCACCGGGTCCATCCCTCACACACCGCCCCTCAGCCGACGTCCCACACCTGTCACACCGAGGCCGGAAGCCTCGCCGTACGGTAACCATGGCAACCGAGCCGACCGGCGCCGGTCGCGTCTGGCGGCGCCGGGGCGTACGGCGGGGAGGGGAGGGGGGGGGGGGGGGTCCACCGCCTGTCCCGCCGAGCCGGCCGGCCGGTGAGCGGTGCCTCGCGGCCCGGCCCGGCTCGCGTGACGAGGTGATCGTGAAACAGCGGCTCGCTGATCCGGCACGAGACAAGAGCGCCGCGCGGCGACACTCAGCGCCCGCAGCCGCCGCTACAGACTCAGGAGGTCCTCAGGGCGGACCAGAGCACAATGGCCCAGTCCGGGCAGATGAGTGTTTACCACCGTCCTTTCTGAGCTCGCACAAAGGACCTGGCTCCTCGACCATCAACCCCTCACCGGTTTGTTTTCGGCACGCTTCTTGTCGTGCCAACCGGAGTGGTATTCACGAGTCCTTTCGTGACCAGTTTCACGAGTGAGCGCGGGCAGACGCCCAGATTTAATTCACTAGTGATGTTTGCCTAAAAGCGACTGCCAACAAAGGGGTGTTATCAGGTGGCAAAAACGCTCTCCAGACGAGGCGAGCTGGAATGCTTTTAAAATAATCCACGGAGAATGTATGATAATGCGGGAGCCTCGATAGTTTTACCGGCCGTTTACATAAGAAGCCACCGCTCCGAATACTATTGGCCGTTTTTGTATTGTGAATTAATGACCACGAAGAACGGCAACGCAAAAACGGGAGGAAACGCCGGAATCTTAACCAGCCGTTGGCCGACAGCTGGTCGCAGTTTTTGCCGGCTATTGTGACAGCGGCGAGTAACAAGTCATCGTGAGAGACGCCTTATTAATCAGCGCTCGATCGGACGCACGCCCCGGCGCGCCGTCGCCGCCGGCGTCCATCCATCTTGCCGAGGTCCCGCTCGACGCACGAGTCAATCATTTCGGTACGGAGCTGTGGGACGTCCTCACTCGGACAGTTCGCCGAGACTCAAAACCTCAGTTTGAGACGAGGCGAGGTGGGATCGTTCTAACCGGGCACGGCGAGCTCTAGACACGTGCAGAAGACTAACTATAACCCAGAATGGAGGGCTCTTTTCCATGTTGTAACAGGCTATAGCCCGGCGCGTTCAAGTCGCTGGTGTTACCCCACGAGCAGCGTTGCAGTTTCCAGCGGCGCCGTGCCGCCTCGACCCGCAGTGGTCAATACTACTCAGACTCACCTCGTGAGCCGTTGCCCGGGCCCGATATCCGCGCGTCGAGATCGACGGATACCGGCGCATCGTCGACGATGTTACACATGTCTTCGGTGCAGCAGCGCAGCCGCGAGTCGGCCTTGTTCTCGCTGTGGAGCCGCTCGCAGATGCGCTGTTTGTGTCTGCAAAAACAGGCGTTCACCACTTGTTAGCAGGTGCTAGATCGATACACATCACACATCACAGGCCGCAGTTCTGATCCGAGGCGAGGTAAAACTCTCGTGAGAGGAGATATAACACCGACTGCCATTGGTGACAGAGTCAGTTGATCGCGTTCCGTGCTCACAGTCCGAACGGGTTCGTAACGGACCGGTGACGGGCTGTGTGACGGGCTGTGTGACGGGCCGTGTGACGGGCTCTGTGACGGTCGCTATGACGCCTGTCACAGCCGTCAGTCGGCGGCGACAGCCTCTGACAAATGACCGATCGCGCCTGCTTTGAAGACGGCGGCCGGCTTTTTGGGCCGCCGATCGGAGCAGATAATAGGAACGCCGGTCAGCCGAAGCACGTCCCTCGGACGACAGGGCCGAGCGCCGGGCCTCATGGCTGGGGACGACAGGGACGGATGGCGGATAGTGGCTGGGGACGGGGGACAACAGGGACGCGAGGGAAGGTTATCGGGAGACGAGGGAAGAAATCCCTCGCTAAAATTGTGAGGGATACGGGAACGGGGACTGAAGGACGCGAGGATCCAACAAGTGTTGAGGGGTGGGGAACGTAAGTTCATCAATATAAGAACGTTTGATCAAATAGACCAACAATGTGATATTGCGACATACGCAACATTCCGTTCCTATGATCGCGAAAACCTGCTCTCGTTTTTCAAGTGTTCGTTGAATGCGCAAATACCGGTGAGAAGTTCAACAATCGAGCCGGAAATTGGTTTGTCCGGGTCAATATTTGCACATTTCTGAGGCCGCTATTGACACAGGATCTTCACTGCCCACAGAAGTGGGCGGCGAAGAGACCGGAAAATTGACACCTGCCGTGGCGGACAGTCTATTGGGCGCAGCGGGACCGTAGCGTCCGGTCCACATACCCTGAGCCCCGGACCGGCCGACCCAAATTCATAGAACCAGTGGAGATGAACACAACGGGAAGCGACCGGTGACATAGCGGAGTGATGACTGACGTAATGGCGGTGGGTAGTGAGGATAAGATGTGGCAGCAGGTGATGGCTGTCAGGGTCCACATTCAAGAGGACATTTTAGTCCCGTTTGTAGCGTTCGTAGCATTGGGCAAATGTCCCATATTCATGCAACATTTGAGATCGATGCTCTCATGTCGATTACGTTATTCACTCTAAGATCAAACAGCGCCACTTTTCCACCCAGCACAGTACAAAGAAGTTATCCTCGGCAAGTTAACTTTGCGCAGGTCCATCCGAAGAGCGGACGCCTCACCTGGAGAGCAGTTCCAGACAGCCGTGTCGGGTGTGAACCCGCTGGTCGGTCTCCACAGTCTCGGAGAAGCACGATCCGACCATCGACTGGCACATGTAGCCGGTGGTCAGGCACGCCGGCAGACTGCAGTAGCAGCGGATCTCCGCTGCGGAACACAGAGACACAGCGGGGTTAGAGCTACGGGCGGGAACACAAACACAGATACGGACGGAACCGAGCTCCTCCCGGGAAAAACGGACAAATACAGACAGAGCAGGGCTCTTATGTGGGAGCACAAAGCACCGATAGACCACGAAACGGACAACGTCGATCTATTCCTTGGAACAGGCAATAGATAGGCGATAGATAGGCAATAGACTGATAGATATCCCATAGAAAGGTCGGTTTTATTTATCCACTGGCTACATCAGAGCTCCATTTCCAAACTCCCGGGTACAGACGATCACCCCACTCTCGGTCAGGCCCCGTCCACCGCGACACTGCACCGCACGGTATCGTACCCAACGGTCGGCCGCCTGGCTCAAAACCACAGCGTGGGGCAGCCCGGTGTCGGTATCGGCACTTCCTCACAGCTCAGAGACCGCAGCCAGTGCCTGTACGCTTTCCAACCAGCCAGTGAGTGTATGTAAGCCGTGCATATGGGTGGATCAGTCTGACGTCCGAGTTGAGTGTTTATTAAATGCGATACATGACCAGCTACCAGAGCCGTCTCTTCGCATCATGTCGGGACGTTGTACGGAATTAGGAATTCGGAAGGGCCCCGCAGAGCAGAGTCCGCTGGGACAGTGTCCGGCAGTGTCCTCTGAGACAGAGCCCTGCCCGTTCGGGGAGTGTCCTGCAGTGTCCGCTGGGAGTGAGGACAGTGCCCGATGATGTTCTCAAGGACTGCGCTGTAGTGGAATTAGGAGAGAGTCCGGCTATATCCATTGGAACAGGGTCCGGGTGATGTCCGCCAGGACCCAGGACAGCTGTCCTGTGACGTGTGTCATTCACCACGAAAGGCCGCTTCATTGAACGCACCACCAATGGCCATCTTCAGCAGCACTCACAGCAGTGACTGATCGAGAGGAGCGTAACAGGCAGGCAAACAGGCAGCGAGCCCGGTTATGGAGGCAGTGTCGGACCTAGACGAGACGAAACCAACGGGGAAAGGATACCGACTGGCATCTCAAGCAGCAGACGCACGAGACTGAAAATAAGCCGTGCTCACAATTTACATGCTTAAGCTTAAGAGGCACTTAGTTCAGTGAAGCGTCTGCAAAAGAAATCCGACCAGATTTTGTGAGGATGATCCAGCCATGTGAGTTACTTTTAGCCCATGTAAGTTAGCCGATTACTTTCTACAGTTGCTATTATTATAATAATTCATTTTAACACCCAAGAGACGCTAGAGACGTGCACGATAATTCACCATGGCCAGTCGGCAGTCATTGAGTCGGTGGCGAGATCCTCGCCGCGAGGATAACCAAACGACACCATGACACTTCATGGGTATTGCGCCGGGCGTTATCATCCGCCTGCACCACATATCTCCCTCTGGCTGGCCGGTGGAACGGACACACACGACACCGCCGCTGGCGGACACCCACGGCACCCCCGCCGTTGGGGACAGCGATGACGGCCCGTCAGCGATGACGTCCGGTCCGTCACGCCCGGGAGAGGAGGGAGGAGAGAGGGGAGAGAGAGGAGAGAGGGGAGAGCACGGCCGACGGAGGGCGGAGGAATGCGCCGGGACCGGAGACTGCCCTCGCCACCGGCGTGGAACGCTCACATCGGCTCCACTTACCGAGTTGTGTTAGGGCGGCCGGGGAGCCGGCTAATTTTGGCCTGCTCAGACGGCAGGAGTCGCCGCCACGGTGAAGGACAGGGAAAGGGCTCGGGACGGGGACGGCAAGGGCAAGGGACGGGTGGGGTTAAGGCCCATGGGGACTCGGGGAGGGCCATGGTAAGGGCTGGGTAAGGACAGGACAGGGTAATGGCAGGGGACAGGCACAGGAAAGCGGCCGTCTGAGCTGAAAACGGTAAGATGAGGACTGATAAGGATGGAGACGGTCGCTGTCAAGGGTTTGCCTCGTCCCAATCCCAGGCCGTACTGGGGACAGAGAGGGCGAGGAGGTCTGGCAGGGTCCGGGACGAGAATGAAACCCGATACCAGTGTTGACTTTGACCGGCGAGCCCGGTATCATAATCGATATTGATATCAGTGTTATCGGCATGGAAACGGTCAACATCACCCGTGTACTGCAGAGGGAAAGATGCGTGGCGCAAACGGGGAGTGCTTTGGAATCACTGAGACGAGCGCCAAACAGGGCCACTGTTGGGTAGCTGGGTCTCCTATCCACGCATCCTATTGAGCTGGGGATGGTCACTGGTCACACACACAGTCAGGGTTGCCGGTCGGAAGACTTGAGCTACCGCGGAGCCGGGCGAAGCGGACTGAGGTGATGACATCAGCTTTGGAGGGTCGGGGGGAGAGCCCGAGTCCTGAGCTGCAGCTCACCTGGCGGCGGCAGCGTGCCGTGCGGCTGGTGTCGCGCACGATGGCCGTGGTGTGACCGGTGCACCTTGTGCGCCGCACCCTGACCGCTCAGCTCGCGCTCCATGGCCCGCAGCAGGCGCTCGTCAGCAGTCCTCGGGGCGCCGGCGGCCAGTCCCAGCCGCACCAGCACCACCACCAGCCAGCCCGCCGGCCTCATCGCGCTCAGACAGGCTCACTGGCGCGTCCGCACTCCAAAACCCTCCACGACACACTGACAACACCCCACCGTACCCCACTCTGGCGATCAACTGATGCCGCCCGGCCGGCGACCGGCCCGCTCCACTGTATCATTACCCCGACTGTGTCGCGGCCGCTCATTGGTCGACAGCGGGCCGGCTGGCTGTGAGACGAGCTCTGATTGGCTGGTGAGAGAGGAATCCAGACAATGATTGGTTAGGCTAATTATCTGGCCGGTCGGGCCGATGACAAGCTGCGAGGCACCAGTCTGGCGGGCGGCGGTGCGTCCCCAGCCGGGCGGCGCGCCGGCGCCCGTCCCCAGCCGTCCGGCGCCACCGTTTCCCCCATCTGTCGGTGGGTTCGCCGCGGCGGCCGGCCGACCCGCTCCGTTTTTGCTGCCGGTGTCAGCCTGAGCAAACACTTGGCTTCATAATTGATAGAGGAGCCCCTCTCGCTATGTGTGTGGCTTGAGAATATACCGGGCGCCGCCCAGCCCAGAGCGAAATTATTGGCCTCCGGTATACCTAATTGATTGGCGATAATTAACGTTAAGCCGTCACTCTTGAGCCGGCTCAGCGCTGTTGTCACCGATGGATTAGACCTGTCGGCTGACGTGGGCTTGTCTGTATTTGCTCTCGTGACTCATGACAAACAGATGATCGGTAATAAACATTCCTGCCGGCCGTAAATAATAACCGTTCAGAATAAAATTATTGCATAACCAATAAGGGTCTTGACGACTGTTGGTGATGTCTGCAGCTGCAGAGATGAGGCTAAAGGTGCATCATGAAACGTTTTAATTAAACAGACTCGCATTTCGCGAGCGGCATGAATTAAAAACCATATTTTCAATTTTCATGAAAAAAATTGTAAGCGTGGTAGCGTTCAGATGTTTTACATATGAGATGCGTGCTTTTTTTAACGGTTTACCGACGCCATTGAGACAATTTTTTTAAACAGACCAAGCACTGAACGGTAGTTTAACCTGTAAATATGCCCGCCAGGCGCCAGCCCTAACTTTGATATATTGGTAGCCTATTGGTTTTGTTAAAAAGTTTGCGGAATGAGTTCTCATACCTACGCTACGACTATTTTGTGTTTTTATCAGTTCTTGTGATCGATTATTTCCCCTGTCAATAAACAAATCAACTTCGTGCATAAGTATATTCTTACATAAAGAGTATGCGTTTATACATAAAAACATTTAAATATTGCGGTAAAATAATCGAATGTTCTAAAACAATGCTGTCCTAACACTGTCGCCATTTCTAAAGAGTGCTGCTCCAGTTGACCAAAACTAAATGCTGACGACACCAAGACCCAAGTGAATCATGGACCCGGATGTGCCCCCTCCCCTGACTACTCCGTGTCCGTCGTGGTAATTCAGCCGTGTCCGCACGGACACCTCGCTGAACCGAGTCACTGCCAAATTGTCCGACCTCGACCGGCCGACCGACCGACCGCTCCGGCTCCGCCTGTGGCGGTCGGGCACCTCACGGCTCCGGCCGGCCCGTCAACTCCGGCCGGCCTGTCGGATATGCAACGGCGTCACGGCGCGGCCGCCAGCCTTCTCGAGACTCGCGCCGGCTTTCAGGGGAAGTCGGGCGGCCGGGCGGTACTGCCGCACGCAGTGGCAGATGGAAGGAGGGGGGGGGGGGTGCTTTTTTAAGCGTGGGTGTGGATGCGAGGATGTGTGTGGAAATGTTGAGTGGAGTGGGTGCTGGTGTGGAGATGCTTGTGAGTGGACTGGGCCCGGCCGGTTTTGGGGCCCGGGAGATGCGGGTGTTGACATGGTGTGCTGGAATGCATAACTCTGAGCGTGGGAGGGTCAGGGGTGTCATTAGAATTGCAGCAGTGGTGTGACGAGTGCAGCCTTTGTCTGACCGGGGGGTGAGCCGGAGAGGGTGGGGGAGCGGGCGGGGTGAAAGTCTGGCGTCGACGTTCAGCCCGGCGCCGACGCGTCGCGACGGTTGCGCCGACTGGCGTCTCCAAACGCCCCCCTCTCCGTCTCGTTGTACCCTCCCCACCCCTCTCCGGCCCCCGACAGAGCGCCTGGCGGAACGCAGCCGGGGGGGGGGGGGGCAGAGGTCGGGGAGGGCTACCGCACCAGATCAGAGCCCCGTGTCCACACCGGCTATCAGTACCCGACGGTGGAGCTACGACGGGCTGCGACATGTTTCAGAGCACGTGTGCTTTTGAGTCTACGTTACGAAGCGGGGCCAAAAATGACTGAAAGCGGCCGAATAGGCGCCGTAAAGAGGTCACCAGTTGCGGATGGCAGGTCCCGGATGAAGGGTCACGGAACACAGGAAACGGATTACAGCACGGGTCACGAATCACACAGGGGAAGTCCCATATCTGTCGACCCGTCTGCCCCACGATCTCTCTGTCCGTCTCTGTATGTCTCTGTCTCCGTTTCCGCCTGTCTCTCTATCTCTCTGTCTCTCTCTTTCCGCCTCTGTCACCGGATGGCACGGCGCGGCCACCCTCGTCCGGCCGCAGCAGAAAACATGTTTTCAGCGGTCCATTGTTTTCAGCGTGCCGCGCCGGTGGTGGCGGACAGCACAGAGCGCGGAGCGGGGAGCGGGGACAGGGACAGGGACAGGGCGGGACGACATCGCGACCTGATGCCGCGCGATGATAACGGCTCACCGTCCCACACCGCGGACCGCTCTGCCTCGGAGGACGCCGGGCGGAGGGGCCGGGATGGAGTCCAGGTATCAGACCAGGCGACATGCCTGAGTTCTACCTGCTCTGGGCTGGGCTAAAGGTCTCATGTGGCAGCCTCAGGCAGGACAGTGTTCTTCAGGGCCTGGAGCAGCACAAGCTCAATACGGCCAGGATGGCGCCTGAGTGCTGAGTGCAAGAGTGACCACAAGTTGAAGTGCTGACAATGCTCGTTCAAATAAAATGTGTCATTAAAACCTATTTTATTGACAATGCATGCATAGATAAGTGAATACTGAATAGGCCATTTGGGTGCGAACTGGCAAAGTGGGAATTTCCAGCGTACTTTCGAGCATTATTGACTCGATTGTCTCCCACCAGATAGAATGACGCAAGGAAAGGGCAATTTAGCATGCGAGCTAAGTGATGATCTCACTCTATGGCTACCCCGCACTTAGCAGTAGGCCCATAAAATAGCCCCGCAACGATTTCCTTGAAATTTCCTACATTCCGGCCGGGAAGTAAAAACCATAAACTAAGCGTCGTCGGCGGCGGCTGTAAATCGGGCCGGCCTGACCTCGGAACGTCTCTGGGAGGGCAGCTGGCAGTAAAGCTCCGGTCGGCGCCGGCCGGCCCCCGGCGCCGACCGACCCCGTCCCGTCGACAGCGAGAGGGGACGAGACGAGATAATATCACGGCGCGGCGTCCATCCGGTGCTGCCGCCACACTTCACATTGTCTGTCACCTATGCAGTTTGTCCTCTACTCTCGTCTCGTCACACTGTCAATTCTACTGCCTTCCCTGCCATTTATTTTTGTTTGGTTTGGTGTATTACAAATGTGTCGGTGACATCAAGGCGTAGGTATATGTAAAGCACTTGCTAAAATTACTCAGCCTCATTTCCACGAAATAGCTGCACTCGCCATGGATTGTGTTTTATACGAGTACATATATCGGTCAGTTTTCAACATTGACACGAATCGCCTACCGTGGTTTAGGAGGTGAAACAAGTCTGTCTCTGCCAGGCCAAGCTTACAATTGGTGGTTTAACGGCCTTCATAATATTTATAGAAGCTCTCATATGCCTAATCCGGCCTGTCTTGCCGCTAAGCCGGTTCGAAACACAGCCCGCTGCCAGTTCAGCCAAACTTCAATGTCTACCGCGCTGTCGGTTCAGCCGCTACTGTCAATACCTTACCGTCTATACGTTAGCTCTGTGCTGTCCACTGGCAGATACAAGGGGGGGGGGGTATTAGGGGCATATGCCCCCTCCGTCAGGAGCCTGGGGAGGGCATTCAGTACAAGTACATGCCCCCCCCCCCCGTTCAGACTTACACTTCTTACGCCTATAACGAGGAACTAAATAAAAATGGATTAGGAAGCCCTCCTAGTAACTACTTTTGTGATCAGAGTCGTTTTAGTAACCTCAATTTAGTTGTCATTGCTTTATTTTGTCTAAAAATATGTTGCTTCTTAGCAGCGGCGGATCCAGAAAATCTCCAAGGGAGGGGCCATTAGAAACCAGGAGGCCCCCATAATCCCACCTGTTGGAGGCCCCATCTTCCCACTTGTTGGCCCCCCCAAAAAAAACTGCGTCTATTGAGCTTATCTAGCTGTTCAGGCAACATCTCAACATGAATAGCCACTTTATTTTCAGGAGGCCCCCTTTTCAGCTTTTTAACTTTTTATTTTATTTTTGAAAAAAAATCGGCCAAGGGGGGGGGGGGGCATGGCCCCCATGGCCCCCTCCCTTGTACCCGCGCCTGCTTCTTAGTTCTTACCACAGGGGAGTCATGCCGCTTCAACCCTTTTAACCGTTGTTGTCTAACGATGGCACTCGTATTGCGCAAACCAGGAATCGGCCGCCGCCTATGCTTGGGAATAGGGACGGTTAGAATATGGTTTACCTGTATGGCCGCAGCCAGTGCAGCGTAACCGGGGGGGGGGGGCACAAGGGGTGCGTGCCGCCTCATTAGATGCATGGTGCCCTATGGGCCCGAGAGGCCCTGCAGTGCCAATTGGCCGCTCAGGTTCCAAGCGTGCCTTATTTCGACTGAGATAAGACCCGCAGGACTCGTGAGAGCACCCCACGGAGTCACGGGCTCCTGAGTCGCCACACATCACACATCTCCATAAGGACCCCACTCCGGCTTCTGAGGGCCCTGTGCTGGCCTCTGAGTGACCTTGCTGACCTATTAAGCGTCAGCTCTAATTATGGTCCTTGCTCATACCCGCATGGAACGGCTCCACACTAGTGTCTCTGAGGGCCCATAACGGCGTCTGTGAGCCGTGAGGGTCTCACACCGGCGCCTTTGAGGGCCCAACACCGCCAATCTGAGGGACTAACACCAATGTTTCTTAAGGTCCTACATCGGCGGCGGCTCTGAGGGCCCCACACTGGCGCCTCTGAAGGTCTTACACAAGCGCATCTGACGGCTACCTACCTGCAACTCTGTGGGCCCCACACTGGTGACTCTGAGGGCTCCCAGCGACGCCTGAGAGTACCACGCCGGTC